CTCCTGAAGTATCCGAAAAAGTATGCTTACACGATCTTGCAATCACACCAGTATTGCATTCACAACCTGAGTAAACATATGTCGAAGTTTGTTCAACTCGACTGAACAGAGCAACTTTTACATTTTCATTTATGATAGGAGTTTTTATGCAATTCTTGTGCTAGGTATGGATATTTTAAAATTTTGGAGAAGCTCTTGAGTCACTACACTGCTAAAATAAACAGCAGTTCACAGATATTATATGAAATTTGCCTTGCTATCGCAAACCTAAAGCTCTTAGTAGATGGAAGTTTCCTTTGAGTGCATTTTTCGCGACTTCATTATATCATCATTAGCAGCCTATTCATCTACCTTCGTGACGGTGAGGATCAGACAAGAGAATTGAATGAGTTCAAGAACAAGCTCGCCAAACATCTAAATACGATATGAGTATGTACTAGGACTACTAGCTTTCTCAAGCAATTATCAAAAATTTCTTTTTATTAATGCTGTCTTTGTTTGTTATTTGTTCGAGCCGTGACAAGCTCCAGCTTTCCAATGAACCATGGCTCTAATCAAAATGAAGAACAATAAGAATGCTTACAGACTTGAAGAGTTTTCTAGATCAATACAACAAGCAAGTAGACGAAATTTGAATTTGTATTGGGCTCCTCATTACGAATTGACCGCGAGATGAACAAGCCGCATCAGATGAAACTAAATAGTTCGTAAATTAAACCCTACAAGTATGAAATAGGTCATATTAAATCGTTGCGAAAGTGATGTTTCTTCCTTTTCCAATGCTCTGTGGATCAAAGAATCTACCGATCTTGATTCGATGATGCATTTCATCCTCTTTCTAATGGTTTATAAAACACTGCAGCACTTCCAGTGTGCTTTCGGAGGATTACCAAAATCTGCGACCAATGCTTTTTAAGATGGTCCATTCTCACATATTTCCCAAGATACAGGGTGTCCCAAAAGTATGTATCGAACGTTTGATCGTTAATAACTCTCTTCCCAAGAAGTCTTTTGCCTTGCTTTAGGTACCGTTTTGTAGAGCTGGCTTCAACTTAGATTTGCACTATAGAACGAATCATTCATCTCTCTTCATTACTGTAGGATTACGGTAGAAACTTGAAACATATGGTGTTAATGTGAAAAAAGCTGCCGTTTCAAAATTTTTCAAAAAATCGTGAAAACTTGTGTAATAGGGTTTTTATGGACGCTGAGTTCAATAATTAACTATTCACAAGATTACGAAGCTTTCTAAACGGTGCAATCCCACTTTTTAGGAACATTGAAAAAATGGCCGCTACTTCTTACCTGGCATAACTCTTCAATGAAGCATCATAATAAGTTGGGAACTTTACAGTTATAATCAGCAACTCTAATTAGCCTAGTGTAAAAGTTTTAAGGCTGTTTTGTTTCCTTTCTGGGGCAAAATATGGCCTTTCATTGCTTAAAACCCTCCTTGAAGTTTCTACCGTAATCCTACAGTAATGAAGAGAAATGAGTGATTCGTTCTATACTGCAAATCTAAGTTGAAGCCAGCTCTACAGAACGGTACCTGAAGCAAGGCAAAAGACTTCTTGGGAAGAGAGTTATTAACGATCAAACGTTCGATACATACTTTTGGGACACCCTGTATACATACCTTCGATAGTCTAGAGACAGGGCGCCAAAAGTGAAGGTTGTTTGAACATCTGACGTCATAAATAGTGAAGGTTGTTTGAAGAAGATCAGAGAAGAAAAAATGACGTAAAATAGATATAAAAAGCAAGAGAAACTGCTGAAAACCAGATAAAAATGCTGCAATAAGGTTTGAAATCTTTCGTTTGGCGGCTTTTTAAAGTGCAAGTTTTCGCTTCAAGGCCAGCAATTCGCAACACGGGGTTTTGATTTTTGATGCGTCCTTTGAATTTTTACCCTCGCGCCGTCCCTCTTGTACCCTGCGACGTTGTCTGGATTCTTCCGCTCATCATTCTGAGCAAGTATCGTCCAAGCTGGAGAAAATTCGTTGCGAAACCACTGAAAAAGAATAAGGTAAAGAAAAACGCATTTTTTTGTAATTTTCACAAAAAAACCGCCATAAGCAGAGAAATAAGCTCGGCGACGTTGTCTACATTATAGACAGAAACAAGACCTATCGACTACACAAAAAAACTGCGTGAAAAGGGTCAAACTAGGAGAAAAACGAAAGATTTTCGAAAACAAGGTTTTTGCCGGATTTCTCGTTTAAATCATAAAAAGGAGTCTTGCGACGTTGTCAGCGTGAAAATAGAGATCAAGAGCTTCAAAATGATATATAGCTTGCTAAAATTGGGTTCGAAACGGCGAAGAAAAGGGTACCAGAGCCAAATGCCCCGCGCCCCGCGTTTGGGGTAGCGAGGTAGCGCGCAGCGCGCGGAGACGCAGACGAGCAGCGGAGACAGACCAGAGCCGGCGGGGCATTTGGCTCTGGTCATTGATCTCCGCGGGGTCATAACAAAACCCTATAATATTATATATCGTTGTGATCCTCATGAGACGGCCAAGAGCACTGACAACGTCGCAGGTCTTGAAAATCACTCCATAACGAGATAGACCAGCATTTATGTGGCGACTCTCTGCGCAAGATTTCAGCGCAGTTTCTCGTTTTTATTGAATTCCAGCGACTTTCATGAACCTCCAACGCTCAATCGCAGTCTACAGAAAGGTTAATTGATAAGTTTCATCCTAATTTCTAACTGAATTTTTGAAGAAAAGCCTTCTTTTCAGCAAAAAAAGGCCATAAAAACGAGATCCTTCGGTTTTTTGAGCTTTTTCTGGATGTCACTACTATATTTGCCTCATTCACATTCATCCTTACATAGTTAGTCATTAGTTATAACATAATATCCGGGCTTCGCCTCGGATGACTTCTGTATTTCTCTCCAGGTGAAGGTTGTGTCCTCTCATGACACTCAAAGTGGAGGTTACCAGAGTACGTGGCTCTATGTATCGAAGGTATGCCTGTATATCAACCGTCCGAAGGAATCCAAGCAGCAGATGAATAGAGAAAACAGGAAACAGTACAACTTTTGTCTCTTTTTTATATCGCCATAATTTCTTGATGATTTTTATCAAAACCACCGAATTTCGGCAGACCTACGTCAGACACAAACGCATTAAACACCAATAAATCTACGGCATTTGAAATCTGCAAGAAGGATTATGAAGTAACACTAATTTTACAAAGCAAATGAGCGTTCACAGATTCGAAATATCAAATCTCGACTATTTTGAGCATCCATCGCAAGCGTTAAAAACATTGCTTACAAACGATTTTTATTTTTACTTTCAAAGTTTCCACGTATCGAAAACAAGAAACCTCCATCAAAAAGGGAAAAAGCCACATCGAATGACACCCGAATTTTTCGCCGTTTGATGTTCAACGAGGTTTGAGATTATAGAAAATTATGGCGGGCTTTGCAAAGGCAGAAAGAATTGTTCTGTATCCTGTAGGGCTTGCTCTAACCATCCGTTATATGGACTCCTTCGGGGGAGATAGAAAATCTGAAAAATTTGTGATCTGACCATTTCAAAATGCGTGGGTCGCAGATTTTGGTGGTATTCGAGAGTTCATTGAATTGCAAAGGACTTGTAATCATTAGAAAGAGGATGAGACTCTCAGAAATCTTTGTTCCACGAAATGTGACTGCATTTTCAAAAAGTTACATTACTTTCGCAAAGACCTACTATCATGACTCGTAAAACTCGTAATTTCTCCTCAAATCATGTTAGTAAGGTAGGAAGTTGATTATGAACAATACAAAAATAAGGACGGAAATTGGGTATGGGTGGGACCAAGACTTGAGTCGGACAGAACGATTCAACGTTCACCTTCAAATATTTTGAAAAAAGCAGAAAATGTATCAGCTTGGAACATAAGTCTTGTTACACTCTAAATTCTTATGGCGGGAAGTCAGACAGTTTACATTTTGGATAGAAGTCCAGGGCACCATTCGATAGAGCAAAGCAAGCTTTATAAAATGATGTGCATAGGTTCGCACCAGCTTCGACCCATCGTAAGTTTGCAAATCCGTACCGAAAGCTTAAAAAATCGCGAAAAATTCATATCTTCGTTCAAAAAAAGACCCTACGAATCTCCAACTTGCTTACAAAAACTGCGTATACTAGAAACCCTTAGGAGTATAACTGAAAATTTTCAGCTTCCCACAAATCCTAGTTTTTGAGAAATATTGATTTTAGCATGGAACAAAAAATTGAGTGAGGAGAGCTAACTTCGGTGATTTTCGAAAACTAGGGCCAGTGGATGAAAATCTACGGTTACAATCCTAAGGGCTTGTAGTATACAATTACATGAGTGGAAACAGCATAGCTTGCTTTTGTATAAACAAGAAAATTTTCGTTTTCTCGATTTCTAAATGAAGAAAAGAATACAGGAACGGTAAATATGAGTGGTCTGATGTAGTGTTCATTTTTGTGAGCAAGTTGGAGATTCGTAGGATTTTTTTTTTGAACAAAAATATGAATTTTTGCGATTTTTTGAGCTTTCAGTACGACTCAGATTTTGGATGCATTACGATGGACCAAAGATGTGCGAACTTATGCACACCATTTTATAAAGCTTGCTTTGCTCTAGCGAATGGTGCCCTGGACTCCTGTTGAAAATGTGAAGTGTATGACTTATCGCCTTAAGAAGTTAGAGTGTGACAAGACTTATGTTACAATCTGATAGACGGCGAATTCGGAAGTATGAAGTTGATTTTTTCGACTGAATAACATTGATCGGTCCCATGCAAGAAACAGTAAAGCTCATCTTCACCACACTTCACAAATCAAAAATTAACTGGTCAGTTGAGATGTTGAGAGCTCGTTGTCGCTCTCAGTTAGAGCACGAAGAAGTTGAGCTACCTACTTTTTCGAGACAATCACTTAGATTTCGAGCGTCCACTGTAACCGGGTTATAGCTTCTACGGGGTATAAAAGCGTATGTGAGCAACTCGGAGCAGTACACAGCAACTCAGATCTTCAGAATGCCTACACTAATTGTATTCGGAGTTCTACTGCTTGCTGCAGTGAAGACTCAAGCAGAAGAGGTGGCTCAGTTTCGCTTTGGCTCTGCTGCTCTTTGAAAATGTTAAGTCTTTCAAATTTCAGTCCATAGAGGTCCGAGGAAAGCGCAGCTGCGGATGTGCGTCGCTCATGTCCTCGCCTTGTTCCTGCAGTGTTGGTCCCACCCCGTTCTGCTCATGCAAGCGGATCATGTTGACCCCATCCTGCTCCTGCGGGGACCCCATGCAGATGTCCCACTGCAACAACTTCTGTGTGAAGGCCTGCCAGCCAGTCTGCGTCAAGAGCTGGATCCCCATTTCCTGCCCATCCTTCTGCAGCAGCCACTGCGCACAGTCCTGCATGCCCAGGCGGATGATGATGCCTATGAAGAAAATCACAGCCTACGTCCCCTACGAGTGCCCGATGATCTGCAAGAAGTCCTGCCAGAAGATGTGCTTCCGTCCCATGTGCATGTCAATGTGCCAAAGACCGTGCATCCAGAAATGCATCCTAGCAGCACCTATGCCACATGCAGAAATGTTTGCCGAGCCAGCATTCTCGATGCCAATGTACAGTTCTGGATGCATGGATTCTGGATGCTTCGATGACGGTTTCATGATAGACCCTTGAACTGCTGATGCTGCCTTTCCTGTTCGAAACGTGGTGCTAAGTCTTTCGATCTTCAAAAGACGCTCATTTTGTCATTCTCTTGGTAAATAAACGATATTGCTCATTTTTAGAGAATCTAGCTGAATTGACAACAAACCGAGTAGATCAAGCTCAAATAGTTAGAGCTCTCAGCTCTATCAATATTCTTTATGACCAACTAGCTGGCTTACCCGGCTCCGCCGTATCCGGACCAAACTTGGCACACATACACTTCGGGCCCCGGCGGGTGTCACAGTCCACTTTTCGTTATCGATCGATGTCGATTTTACCGATTTTTATCGATTTTTTTGCAGAGTTCACCTACAGGGCTAGGAGTTGGCACAGGGGGGGGGGGGGGAAGTGAGCATGGGGATAGTAGCCTATGACACCCGCCGGGGCCCGAAGTGTACGTGTGCCAAGTTTGGTCCGGATCGGTTCAGAAATGGAATTTTCTATTCGGAACATACGTACAGACAGACAGACAGACATACAGACAGACATACAGACAGACAGACAAACAGACATTCAGCTTTATATATAAGATACCAAAACGTACCATAGTTCTTTCAACTATTATCCTTCAAATACAACATTCAGCGGCTAAATTGACTGGACCAGAAAAGTCCTTGTGCAAGCACAACAATCTTCGATAGGGTAATGCAAGGTCTTATAATTTTGTCAAGCATGTGCACAATCCATGCATTTTACGGAAATTTGAGTAAAAATTTGAAAATAAAGGTCTTGCCTGAACTCACAAGGGAAGCGTGTTTGATCGAAGTGGCCTTTTCAGATGTGACCCATACTGCTTTGAAGAATATTGCACGATGATTCCAAATCTACCTTCCAAATCTGCCAAGCGCCTCTGGACGCCGAGTTATGGCCGTTTTTTGGAATGAAAAATGAATGCAGAATTTGGGTAAAATTGATTATGAAAATCTTTACAGCGCTCAGATAAAGCAATGTCAAGTGTTAGCATATTAGATAAGATGTATCCGCTGCATAAAGGGCTCTGATTCTTCACACTGGACCATTTGAGCAAATTTTGGGCGATGTTTTTTGACCTGAAAAACGCCCATAACTCGGCGTCCAGAGGCGCTTGGCAGATTTGGAAGGCAGATTTGAAATCATCGCTTAATGCTCTTCAAAGCAGTATGAGTCTCATCTGCGAAGGCCACTTCGACTACACACGCTTCCCTTGTCAGATATTCACCTTCCGTGATTACTATAAACCTTCCTTACGTCCCGCTAAATGGTAAAGACTCAGACGCAATAGATGCGTACAGTATACAGGGTGTCCCAAAAGTAAGTATACACTTTTCAATCGTCAATATCTCTCTTCCCAATGGTCTTTTTTCGCCATTTAAGTACCATTCTGAAGAGGAGGCTTCAACTTAGATTCACAGTATCGAGCGAATCACCGACGCTCTTCATCACTGTAGGATTACGGTAAGAACTTCCAGCAAGCAGAACTATTGTGAAATATGCCATCTGACGAAATTTTTTTCAAAAAATCTAAAAAATTGTGTACTAGGGTTTTCGCGCACGTTGATTCCACTACACAACTTTTCATGAGTGTTTTCAACTTTTTTGACGGTGTAATCACGTTCTGACAAATATTGAGAATTTGGATATTACAGTTTACCTAGGATAACTTTAGAAAGAAGCATCATAGTAAAGTGGAAATTTCATATTTGAAATCAGCAACTTCCATTACCTTACAAAGAGTGATCGGTGGTCCGCTCCTTACTGTAAATCTAAGTTGAAGCCTCCTCTACAGAGTGGTACTTAAATGGCGACAGAAGACACAATGGAAAGAGAGATATCAACGATTGAAAAGTGTGTACTTACTTTTGGGACACCCTGTATAACTACTATAACTGATGCTTCAAAAACGAGAAAAAAGGTGATTAGAAAGTGGGAAACTCCGCCCCGGTAGACTCCTGCATGCTCACATATATACAATTGCGACACCACTTTAACACATTTTCAATCTTTTGAATGCAATAGCACCTGAAAAATGAAGATTTTGGCACGGACATGTTGAGACTCCTTAGCAGCATGATTAGGGTAGAATCCAGTTGATATGCAAAGCTAAATTGCTCTACAACGTGGCAGTTTTCACCAAGCTTATAATTTATAGAAACGGTCACCTGACAGTCCATGCTATATTTTTCACAACCTCTCATGTTTCACACAGAGCGTAATAATGAATTGTAAAATGCGTATGCCAGCTTACAGGCACATTGAAATATGGTCCAATCACGTCAGTTCATGCAATTTTTTCCGCAAATTATCGTAGTAGTGAGGGAATGTTACAAAAAGTTGATCTTCTTCGCCTAACAATACGAAAATTCTGCAGGAATTAAAACAGTTGCCTCATAAAATTCTGGCTAACCGACGTAAGCGTTCCTTTTTCATTAAAATCCAATTAAGAGCTATCTATGATATGCAGATGACCAATGTGACATAAAAGCACTTCTATGATTAAACCTTTAATCTGTTACTGCAAAAGTGCGCTAAATCGTCAGGAAGAGCGCTTCATTTTCCCCGATAACGTTATACGCTGATGTGGCCATAAAAATCAAGTACCCTATTTCCACACCCTAGGTGTAAGCCACACCCTTTTCACTCTAAAGGCGCACACGTCAAAAGACTACCTGTTACGATGGGGCGCATTAAGTGAGAGCAATGCGCGAGAAAGCGACCGCTTCGCGAGGCACATGCGCAGCGGCACGCCTTGGTCTGCTCGCGTTTAGAGCAAAAAGGGTGCGACTTATACACCTGAAAATAGGGTACTTATAAAAAGCAGGAAGAGGATGGAGTGCTTATGTTGCGGAGAAAAATTCCATGTGCGAGTAAATGATAGATTATGTTCCGACTATTTGCCGAAACTTCGGTTGCAATAAAGCAATAAGGGAATAATTGTTCTAATTAAGTAATTAATTGATTCAATCACAGAAGTGTTTTTATATGGTACACATTGGCCAACTGCATATTATAGATAGCTTTGGGAGGAGTCTACCAAAGGGGCGGAGTTTGCCAATTCTTTATCACCTCTTTTCTTGTTTTTTGAGCAACAGTTATATACATCGTACGCATATACGCAGGTATTTGAGTCCTTACCAATTAGTGGGACATAAGAAAGGTATTAGGCAATTACGGAATTTGGATATCCAATTCCAGTATAGGGCTCGGCACAGGTGTAAGCAAGGTGGATATCGTTTTTGGGACAAAAAGTGAACGGGTGTGGTTTTTGAGGCCGAAAAGACACCCAACTTGCGAAGTTTTTTTTGTTTTTTATTTAGTCGACCTTTTTTCTTTGGGTTTTTAATTGTTTAGGGTTGAGGGTCACACAGGACTTCGTAAAAATTCGCGAAAGTCAAGGAGGAGTTTGTTTTGTGCATTTTCCAAAATCAACCTCGTGCCGAGGCTTAGTTCAGTCAAAACTCTTCGTTTTCAAATTTTCACTTTTCCATAGAATTCGTGGATTATGCACATGCTTGACAACATCTTGTAGGGTTTTGATTTCCCCATCGAGGATTGCTGGGCCTGCACAAGGATTGTGCAGTCTAATTAGCCGTTGAGTGTTGCATTTGAAAGATGAAAATTGAAAGAATTGAAGAACCTTTAATCCCCAACCTATGAAGGACAGCTCAAAATTACGAGTTTGATTACTAGGTTTGTTGTTAGTTCAGGTGGATTCTCTGAACATAGGCAATGATCTTTATTTACAAGAGAATGACACAATGAGCGTTTGAAGGTCGAGGCAAAGACTTAGCACCACATTTCGAACAGGAAAGGCAGCATCAATAGATCAAGGGTCCATCATGAAACCATCATCGAAGCATCCAGAATCCATGCATCCAGAACCGTACATTGGCATCGTGAATGCTGGCTCGGCAAACATTTCTGCATGTGGCATCGGTGCTGCTAGGATGCATTTCTGGATGCACGGTCTTTGGCACATTGACATGCACATGGGACGGAAGCACATCTTCTGGCAGGACTTCTTGCAAATCATCGGACACTCGTAGGGGACGTAAGCTGTGATTTTCTTCATGGGAACCATCATCCGCCTGGGCATGCAGGACTGTGCGCAGTGGCTGCTGCAGAAGGATGGGCAGGAGATGGGGATCCAGCTCTTGACGCAGACTGGCTGGCAGGCCTTCACACAGAAGTCGTTGCAGTGGGACATCTGCATGGGGACCCCGCAGGGGCAGGACGGGGTCGTCATGATCCGCTTGCACGAGCAGGACGGAGTGGGACCAACACTACAAGAGCAGGGTGATGTCATGAGCGACGCACATCCGCAGCTGCGCTTTCCTCGGACTGCTATGGACTGAAATTTCAAAAATTCAGCATTTTCAAAGAGCAAAAGAGCCAAAGCGAAACTGAGCCACCTCTTCCGCTTGAGTCTTCACTACAGCGAGCAGTAGGACTCCGAATACGATTGGTGCCTGCATTCTGAAGATCTGAGTTGCTGCGTACTGCTCCGAGCTCACAGATGCTTTTATACCCCGTAGAAGCAGATCATGAGCATCATTCCAGCTCCGTGATTTTTTTTCTTCCCCGGTAGATGACGTGTGGTCCAGTCATTACTCATGAGTGATGATTTCCACTCGCACTTGGCTCACTATGAAAATAACCCGGCTATAGAGAGCACTTTAAATTTAAGTGAATGCTTTGAAAAAGTGGGTAGCTCAAGTTTATTGTGCTCTAATTGAGAGCGAATATCAACATCTCAAAGCGAAAACGATCAAGAACAAACAAGCTAGTTTTTGATTTGGAAATGTGATCAGGATAGCTGAGCTATACCTTTTCATCCGTAGGGACCGATCAAGGATGTTATAAGGTCATTCGGAAAGTTCGTTCGCCTTTTGGCCCCTGACATTGACGCTATTCTTTGAGAGAGTGTCAGAAGACTGGTAAGGCTTTCTGCATATGGACTTGTAGAGGGAAGCCTTCTAGTTTCTGGAAAACCGACCAATTTGCAGAAATCACTTTAAAGGGAAATTTGTGCGGCGAATCGACAAGCGAGAACGCGATTTTTGAATCATTGCGTTCTCTAGGCTCAAACTTGAAAGTAGGTAGTTAAAAGAGCAACCGCAGTGTGCAATGCATCTCCTAAGGCTACCTCGTTCTCAATGTTGGTGCAAAATTGGTTCCAAGAATTTAGATCTAGAGTAGTGAAAGCTAATGTTTCGCAAAATCCTGGAAGGTGTCGAAGCCATACAGGCGAGTATCTCATTGTCAGAAGAGCTTTTCTAAGCAAATTCTGTATGTAACTGCGCAAAGTTATCAGCAGGTCTTGGAGTGTCACATAACCTTACTGAAAGTCATTTTCCCAAAAGCTGTTATGCGGATACTGGCAAGTGAATTCTCTGCAAGTTGTCGGTTCGCAGATGAAGGGCGCGTTAAGCTTGTTTCAACGCTGGTAATTTGATAGAGCAAGCTTTTTTTTTGGCGCGGATCAGCATGGCAAAGAATGGACCAAGTGGGCTACAAGAAGCAACATTTTGATAAAGCATTCGGACAGTATTCTGTCTGAAACGACTCACAAATGTACAAGTGATTACTACACAATCCACTTGTAATCAATGATCTGAGCTCCTATTTTGTGGTTATGTTTATTTTAGGAAGTATGCTTTGCGCGCCAGTTTCTCAGCACCGCGGAAGATGATAACCGAGATAATTTGAGGAGTCGTCGAGTGCAGCGAGAAGCTGCTTCATCATTCTTTGAATGTTTTACATTTCTTTCTTGCTCATGCCTTCATCTAGATTTCTGGTATATAAGTCGTCAAGATAGCAATATCACATTTCTTCTACTGGGATTTTTCAAGGCAAGTAGAAAATTAAATGACAAGTATTGATACGAGTATTGTGAGCAGCAATCAGACAAATACCTGATTTTCTTCACTTCTTGCGATTCAGTTATACTTCAGATATTCTGCATACTCACTTGTTTTCACAATCAACCATTGTTTTGTTATGCATGCTGTTATTTGCCAATTTGATAGCCGGTATGTATATATTTTGCATGTTTTTGTAAACATGGTATCGTGACTTGTTTTGTTGTATTAATTAAGTAAAGGTTTAATTACCCAAGTTTGAGCTGAAGTACATTGCAACCACATACAAGCCCGCGTGGCACGAGTACAAGTCAATCAAGTCTCTTATTAGATGTCTTATTGTTCTGCATATTGTCCGAGTAAAACCTCAACTACACATTCAAAGCACGACCATCAACAATCAGCAGTTCTGAAGGCTGGTGAGCTCAAATCATGCAATCCTGCTAGTCTGGTATGCTATACTCTTGTTAAGATGTGACTAGCAGTAACTTTCTAAATACTGTTGGTTTATCGAAAACTGAGCATACTTGCACATACACTACAGGGGTGCTATTCTTGCTTACGATGGCGCCAAGTCACATATGAGAAAGGTGGTCCAAGAAAGGGGGTCAAAACGGCGCCAAAAAGCAATGATTGCGTAAATTGCCGATTTGTTATGATTTTACTCAAAAAAATGAGAGGAATTTTGCTCAGAGGTCTAGCTTACGATGGCTATTGTCATACTGGCCAATTCTGAGTCAAAATGCAGTAACTTTAAAATAGTAGTTTTTTGCAGTTCATTCATGATGGTTGGCATTGCGCGATGAGTTCCAAAGTCATTACTACGCGATCACTTGAAGTATATAGTTAGTAGAACCGAAGCAGAGATGACGCATTGATTTCTAGATAGGCTCCAAGATTTTAAAGAAATGGTGATTGATGAAGAAAGGTCTGAAGAGTCCGAGGAATAAATAGGAATACCGATGCGCAAAAATGTAATTTTCAATGGCATTTGGGCTTAAGCTGATGGCTGCAGATATGGATGAGACAGACGGTCTTAGCGCTCTACTTCTAAGTTATGATGATTATTAAGGTTCATTGAATGGCAGTGGTCAAAAACGCCTTTTAGGCTTTATTGATTCTTCTGGAATCACTTTACAAGAAAAGGATGAGATACATGAGCGTTGTTATCTTGTTGCCTATGGGAGTTTAGAAATAAAAATGCATATAGAAAGTGTGCCCTGTTTATACTTCAAGGACTCGGTAAACTCAGCTTGCTTATGCATTTTTAAAGTAGATTAACGACCAAATTTGATTTGTGCTGATGTCAAGCTACACTTATGAGAGTGCTTCTTACTAACGGAGGACGAGAACCATACTTGCCCGCGTCTAAACTCAACTTTCGCCTTGTAATTTCGCTGCGGTTTCCCTAGCTTTTCTTTCCGCGGAACTTATGAAAGAGAATCCTCATTATAATATTCTGTGACATATTAGAAGCATCGTTTCCCAGATAATGCCTTCACGATGGAGCCAATGTACTCCGAAGATTTCGCTGCTAAAAAAAAGCCTTCAGCTGCAGCATATTAAAAACAATTTCTACGAATTTTAGAAAGCTTTTTTTAACAAAATGGTGTCAAAGAAGTGCTCTCAGACTCGTATCATGACCTCATCGATATGATCTAGGAGCCAAGATAAATGTACCCTGAACTCTGCAACAACCATATTGATTGTCAGTGTCTATGAGAATCTCCTAGTTATTTCTTCTTTTTTTTTTCTTTGGCGCAAATGTGTTGCTTCTTGCTGAGGTCGTTTGAGCAAATTACACCTTGGAATGTTGGCATCAGTCAGACAATAGCCGAGAAGTCTATCTCAAATATTCATGCCCGCTTAATCTTCTCGCTATGCATTGCGAACGAGCAGCTTTACACAATTTCTCTTCTGCATTTGTAAGACTCAGTTCCCTTATCCGTTATATGCATATTTTACAGCTCTATACAAATAAATGAGTGTCTTCCCTTTGCACATAAAATTTTCCACTTCTGCGCTTTTCGGAACCTATAAAAATGATAATATCTTCCCATTTTCTCCTCTACTCTTCTATGTGCATAGATTTCAGAGCTATAAGAATTTTCAACACCATCTGGGGCAAAGTGCAAACCTTACTGTCAACATCGATCATCTTCTGTCCTTAGATAGTTGAAATTCTTCGATTGTATTACACCCCGATCAGATGGACTTAGGCGATTACAGTGAAAAACAGTGAAAATTTTAGTACTTGATGGCCTTTCTCATGGGCTGGTTCATTATAGAGTTCAATCATCATTGTATTAGGAACTTGATGACGATTCACATTTTCTACTTGCTAATTACTACGATTCTTGGTCTGTTTCTGAGCACTGATGTTGGCTTAGTACAATCACAATCAATAAGAATTTTTATGCTAAGTAAGTGAAGCTGATATTAACCTCGTTATCCAGCTGTTAGCTTTGAAGATGCAGTTCTTTCTTTCTTTCTATATCTTCAGTTGATCTTATAGGAGACTGAAGCAGTGTGATGGATTTTATCTCTACATAGTCGAACGATAATAGCATATCCTTTTTCTTTCTCAAATTCGAATTTCGAATTCATGTGCGGAAAGCTGTAAATTGGAACGTCACTGTCCTTAGGTGTGATGTTCTTCAAATCTGTTACTTCATCAACATATATTTGTACTATTTTTCTCATAACTAACTACTACGTTTATTTTTTAATTCCAGTGAATTTTTTATTATATTTATGCGATATACCCGAGCAAGTGTTATAAGATGATCGGAACTTCCGCGTAACTCTGGTCAACGTAAAATTTGAAACTAAAATCCATAGTGTTTGTGCAACTCAAAAATCGGGTTTCCTCAAAAAGAATTTTACGGATTTCAAGCTTAGTCAAGCGTAAGATAGTTGTACATCGAAAGCTTATTTTCGCGTTTGCTTTTTTCAGTGGCTAGAAATCAGGACGAAAATACTGAGTTCGAAATGAAAAATGCAAACCTGGCCATCCTAGAAAACTATAAACCTTTGGAAAAACAACCATGAAATTTTTTCCTATATGTTTTGTAAGTCGAAAAATAAAAATAGCCAGGAAAATCAGCAAAAGTGCAGCTATAAATCTATGTATCTACTATGTAATGACTAATCAGGAGGTTCACAGAATTTTTAAGGACGAAGAATTGATTTTTAAAGCAGTTAATTTTTACTTTGTTACCAAACTTTGCCTGCCTACGATTTATGCGGATCTTTGATGACCATCTATAGCTTGCTTCACATTTCAGAAATCATATTCAAACAAGTATCTAGATCAATACTAATTTTTGAACAAAAAAAATTTTTTCTCTAGACAACCTAATAAAAACATGCTGCCAATCACTGCTTTACTAAAATTTTCTTGAATTGAAATTGATTTACTGAATAATACCTTGAGTTATATCGTCTTGTAAAAGCCTCTTCCCTATGGTTTGTACTTTGGGAAGATCTACTTGGCTCAAGTAACTTGAGACTTCTGGGAATTTAAGCTCACGATGTGCTCCGTCGCGGTTTTATGTCCTATTCGTGAACCCTCCAGCTGCAGGTCCTTGCCCTCAGAGGTTAAGATAACTCGAACACGAAGGCACAGAGAATGTTTAAAGAATGTTTACAATAAGGCATGGGACCCGTGTGGTTACTTGAGACTAGAAACACCAACAGAAAAATCTTTTTCAAGCTTCGAGGCCAATTCAAAAGTGCGCAGTCCTAGAGCACGTCATTGTGGGACGAGTGAAAGGATCGAGCACCTTCTTAACAGTTGCGAGTTCAAAGCTCGAACATATGGTTAGTTGACTTTGAGCATGACAAGTGGATCGTACCCTGAGCGACACGTCAAAACTTTCGTTGAAATTTCGAAATCAAGTGTTCTTATGCGAATTTTTTTTCGGGTTTTCCTATTTCCTGTCTCAGGTTGGGATATTAGTCTTGCACCAAAATTTCCGAATGATTCATTCAAAATGCTAAGTCACCCGTTCTAGTTTGTAAAGCACTTTTTTTCATATAATGCATGATTTTATTACATATGAAAATTCTATAGTGAGAGAATCAAAATTCAAAAAAAAAAGAATTTCGTATATCACAATCTTTTGTAGAATTTTTCATCAGTACGAATTTATCTTTAAAGAAAGTAAGTGATAATTCATGAGCTTAAAGCAAAATGAGAAGTTGCTGTACCTTTTGAGACTTTTAGTTGTCGAGATTCAGTTTTTTATCTGAGTGTTTTATCAGGTTTTATTGCAGTGACATAACAATGATTTTGCTTTGGAAATATTGATAAAGCTTATAATTCCTTTCTTAAAGCTTTTATATTAGGTCGTTCCGAAAGTAATTTCGCATCACAGTCAATAGGCTCTTGCAAAATTACCAAAGTCTGCGATCCATGCTATCTGAGATGGTCAAGTTTCACAATTTTCTTAGACTCTTATATCACCCTCGGAAGGAATCCAAGTAAGATATTTATAGAGCAAGCTTTACAGGATGCAAAACAATTTCTCTTATAGTACCATTAAGCTTTAAATTCTAAAGAATTATTGGTGTCTGATGCGATTGTGGCTGACTTAGGCCTGTCCCGTATCCCCCAAGGTTTGTTCCATTGAATCGTTACTTATATTCCTTCCGAGAATTGATATAAAGGTTTAGAAAAATTGTGGAACTTGTCCATCTCAAAAAGCATGTTTCACAGATTTTGGTGATTTTCCGAGAGCTCGTTGAATGTGCTGCAAAGAATTTATAACCTTTAGAAAGAGGATGGAAATGCTTCTTCGAATGCTTCCAGAATCACTTAGAAATCTTTGTCCCACCAAATGTGGCAGTCATTTGAAAAAAGCGACATTACTTTCGGAACGACTCAATGTATCAACCAATTCATCAAATTTTTGGGAACCCCACAGAGTTCCAAATTTTGGGTGCAAGACCTATTCTAACCGAATACTTGCAGTATCATATAATAGGATTTCTCGCTAAGAGTCAACATTCTATGAACAATCTCGAATAATCGTATCAGCGTGGAAAAAAATCCGTATTTTGCGCGGTGTCCGTGAAATTGCGTATTGGAACTTTAATCTTCATAGATTCCTTAAAAATCTACTTGCCCAACTGCTTCCAAAACTGATGCCTAAAATCATTTTTTGCCGAGTCTGCCCTTTACTTGAATTTAATTAAAATTAACGTTTTGCAAACTTTTTGCGAGCTGAAAAATGCACGATTAAACTTCAGCTTTTTATTTCTCATCAATTTCAGTCAGCAGTGGAGGAAAAAGTAAACGCTCGATGATCAGCAGCATTCTAGAATTTGGTTTTCCATCAGTTTTGTTAACGAAGATAGATGGCTCTTGCAGTGCAGTTTTTTTTTCAAAACTTCAGAAGAGCTCAAAATACAAAAAGTTTCATGCAAGATTAATTTTCATCTAGCTCATGCTTTTTACTTTCTTTTATTTTTTCTGAGATCAGGAAAAAGGCAAAAAATAAAGCCAACTTTTTTTATCTCACACGTGATCTCCCTTGTCATCATTTCACATCATGAAGCTGGTGAGGTCATGACAAGAAAAGTACCATGAAATTTGATATTTTACTGCAGTGCAGATATATAATGTTCCTCTGCTCTCTGTCTTCTCTCTACCTCTATTGAGCACTTTTTTCTTGTTCATTCTCTGGCGGCGCACATATTTTAGCCAGCATAGCTTAGATCTTCCGGCTGAGATTATCGAGCTTATACCCTACTGCTACTGAATAGTTTTTTTTACAATTTTTCACTGTAGGCTTCTAGACAAACTCTCTCTCAAATGTAGTCTCAACTTTCCTTTAGAAACAACTCTCCAAAAAGATCCTGTTCTTTCTAAGAAATAACGTTTCTTGCTAAGCTATTTTTGATTTTGTGTGTTACAAATTAATACTGTACTAAAAGATCAGAAAGCTTTGAAAGCGCTTATTTTCATCTCTTCATCTTGAATACCGCAAATTCAAGGCGACTGAATGTCTAGAATCAAAGCTTGTAGTTCTTGCTACTTAGAAGATGGCATGTTTAGGACGTCGAGCGTTTATTTCAGGAAACTCAGACTTTGTTATTCGATAGTCACAGTTATGCGTGAGATAAAGTATATCTCAGGATTTGTCTTTAAAAGGTTTATGGAAGTATCACACGTAACAATATTCTATGTTCAAAATATGCTGTAAAAGCCATCATATCCTTTGCGTTCTATTTGCAGGAAGCAGTGATTATAAACGGACGATAATATTGTTTAGTGCACCTCTACTGCAAGATTTGCAATTGATTTCATTTGTACATGTGACATTTTGGCACTTAGGCAAAGCAACTGTACAAATATAGGAATATGGTCTTTGATTTAAGTAACATATTCCAGTGAACGAAAATGTTCGCCAAGCGATGCAAAAACAGTAAATGTAAATTATTGTTAAAGTGGTACAGAGCCCTTCAAGTGTTCGAAACAGTAATCTCTAGGTACTAGAAAGTTCTGAAAAGACATTTGAAAAACTTGAAAAGATCTATATACTCGATAAGATAAAAAATGGGAATTTTAAGAGTGGATTCGCGGAATTATACGCCCAAGTAAAAACGAAACTATCCTGACACAGTAAATTTAAAATCATAAATTCGAAGCTCAATATAATCTTCTGAGCATTTTTCTTGATGCAGTTGGGCCAGTGGATGAAGAATTTAGGTTGCAGGACACTAAATAAGTAAAATTGTGGGGAGATATGGCTAAAAATTTTCATTCTAAAGGATTGAGCTTCATCAAAAATCAATGACCACGGGATGCTACACGTCATCCATTACGAATGAATTTATATATTATGCTGCATGGTTTCGATGACAATGCGAGAAGATATCCCACCGCAAGCGCTTCAGTTTCTGAAAATTTCCTCTATACTCTGCGCCTCCACCTTTCGCTTGCTATCTCCGCGACACCAACCGTTGCCCGGGGCATTTGGATGTGGATGCTTTTCTCGATTGTTTCAAAGGCAATCCTTGTATATCGTATGTCATCTTGAAGCCAGTCCTTCATTTTTGCACACTGATACGAAACATAGTAATTTGATCTGAGCGAGAAATTTGACAAAAATTTTTTGTTATTGGATTTTTTTATTTTTCGAGATACTTCTTTCGGAGTTTTTTTTTTCATAGAAAAAGTTCTTGTATCTGATGCAGACAATGCAGCAAAAGCTTGGCTTTCTAATTATGATGAAATATTTAGTATAAGAGCGCCAAAAGTACATTTATCTTCATGGCGCTCTATTGTGATGGCTTCACAAACTTTTTAACCGCGCCTTGGAAGTTCTTGCTTGGAAAATGTGGATCAACGGAGACAACATCGCAAGGAAAATCTGCATCAAAACGTAGGTTTATTTTAGCATAATTTGGCCTGTAAGGATCCCAAATTTTCCTTTCTCTCAACACATTGACGACAACTGACCCACACGATGGGTCACGCAATGACTGCCACGTGGGACAATGCGACCCGCATTGTGGGTCATCTCTTAAATTTTATTAAAAGGACTACTATTTTAGAATACACTTGTTTCAGAAGTTTTCTTACGCTCTAGTACTAGAACTCGCTTCCACGTTTTTCGGGTGCTTCTTAGAATTACTGTAGGTATACTGTAGATGACGATCTGCGTATTTTTAGCCAAAATTTTTCAATTTTTTCTTGGAAGGCATCGTCCCACAAGGCAGACAACTAAAAATGAGCATTGTCGTCAATGTGTTAAGTTTTTCGTTGATTTTGAAAATTTTCTGAGCGAGGATTCTTTATTGCTTATGATTTTTACTTTATATGAAGGCCAAAGTAAGCAGCTATCATTTCTGAGGCTGTTTTTCAAGGCTATCGTTGTTTATTTATGAAACTTCTGGTTTTTTTTCAATATCATACTTTATTCAAATCGTAAAACCAAACTGATGGAGAAAAGAATATTCACATAAAAATTTCAATGCTGCATAAACGACTACTCTTTCCCCAAGGGCATCCTATAAGCTTCAGCCAAGTTGTAAAGCAGGTCCATTACAAGTACATCCAAACACATTGCTCGAAGGATAACTGTTTTAGCCGGGACACATGGGGGTGTCGGAACGCACTCTAGGTGCGTGGAAAGTGCTAAAAACAAAGACGGAGCTGCATAGAATTTCATTGTGCATATTACTGACACCTGGTTGTTCTCGAATTATTTTCACATGAAACATTAAGATCTAGAGTTTTGCGGAACATTAGTTTTGCATTTTTCTTGTCAAGTTTGCTCGACTTACAGTAACCCCTATTATAGAATTCGGTACTCTTCCGTTACTGACCCATTTTTTTTTCAAAATATTTTCATGAAACACGTGCTTCAGCCTAGAAATTTCTTTCAAAGGTCTTGTGAAGACTGCCTCCTCGCCACGTAATAAGATAAAAATTAACACGTTCGAGGCCAGTTGACATGATTTTTCAAGTCATTTTCGAGGAGGTACGAGAGCATTTGAAATGACTCAGTTGCTGTTCAGGGGTGTTTTATAAAAGCAAAGTAGTTTTAAAAGTTTATTGAACCATCTTGGTAGCTTTCAGCAACATTTCAAAGAAACTTTGCTCTTTACATTTTTCTAGACTTTTTTTAGTCCGGAAATCATGTTGGTGGCTTGAAGTATCTGACTGTCTATTGTTTCGTCATTTAGATGAAGGAGCAGTAGCCACTTCTCTGTTTTGGAAAAATGTGCCTATTAGATACAGAATTCATTTTCGTAATATTGAAGCTCATTCATGAAAGTGTTGTCTAAAAATTGAGTCATTTTTGAATAAAATCAAATTTAATTTATAGGTTGTCCGGAAATTAATGTCCGTTTTGAATTTCAACCGCAATAACTCATACAATTTTCAAAAAATCGAGAAAAATCATAACTCAGTTCATAAAATTCCTGCAAAAATTCTAAATTGCTCACGTAAACACTATCCACATAAGACATATATGTACGCTATTGCTGTATTTTTTCCTATATTATAAATCGAAAAAACGAAAATGTTCATGCTTTTGCCAAAGTCATGCTGTGTCGTCCCCCCCCCCCACATAAGTAGATGTGTTCTACAAATCTGTAGAAGTACAAACGTAAATTTTCAGCTCTCTATAAGCTTTAGTTCTCGAGAAATATCGAATATAGCTTTCATTGGTCAGGTGGTCCAAACTAGAATTCAAATTTCTCGAGAACTTAAGCTTGTAAAAACCTGAAAATCCACGTTTTTACTTCTACAGATTTGTAGTATACATCTACTTATGTGGGGACCACACAGCATCACTTCTGCAAAAGTATGAAAATTTTCGTCTTTTCGATTTCCAATAGAGGAAAAAATACGGCAATAGCGTGCATATATGTCTTATGTGAATAGTGTTTACGTGAGCAAGTTAGAATTTTTGTAGAGTTCTTACGAACTAAATTATGATTTTTTCTTGATTTTTCGGGCAGTTGAATCTTTTTAGTTTTTGGCTCGAAACTCGAGGTGGACCAGAGCTGTTGATAAAGCAAGATAACCATCTTGTAGCGCTTGCTCTGCTCTATCGAATGGTTCCTTGAAAGCTATTCAGGTATGAAAAGTGTATGACTTATCGCGGTTGAAAATTAAAACGGACATTAATTTCCGGACAACCTGATACATTGATAGGTAGGCTAAACAAACTCTTGATAAAAACTGTTAAACATGTAGATGACATATGAATTTTTTTGATACGTGGCGGGAGGATGACTCTCCATCATGTGAAGCTTTTACCAAATTTGATATAAGAAAACAAGCAATGTCCTTTTTTGAAAAAATGGGTCCGGATAGCGGAAAAGTACCAAGGATTCGATCTTGTGGACAATGGGTGAGAGGGGCGAGGCTTATGTTCCTGAACGCGAGCGGAAATTAGGCAAGGTCCCTATAAAAGGGACCGCCTTCATCTAGATAGCGGCTCATTTCCAGCAGGGGAAAATCGCTCGTTCTGAAATAATTGGTTCATTGGTTTTCCTGGATGTGCACTTCTCATGGCAGTGTTGAAGTGATAGATGTCTCGCTCCATCCCTCTGTTCAGCAAGTGTATAGCAGCTTTCTAGAAAATTCTCTGGTCCCGAACTAGTTTCCAGGTTATCTTCTCCAACTCCATTTCATTTCACAGCATTGATAGCGCGCTATTTGTACGTGCGCGAGAATATTATGCGTCATGTTTGATTCATAACCACATGGTTTTACCGTAACGTCAGAAGATCATAGAATCAAAGACTATTTGTCGCGGCGATTCTCAGCACGAATTCGTCGTCGTCGGAGCGAGATAGTCTCTCGAAAAATAATCTGCTCGGCTGCAATCTCCACCCTTTGAGCATTGTCACCTGCCTATCATTCGCACGGTCCGCGCTCCGTCTCGGTCTCTCCTATCAGTTCTGAAAGTGATCTTTGCCTAACAGCAGATGCATATAAGGCCCGTGTGCTCGTCTCTACGCACACAGCACTACTCGTTTTCAGAGCTAACAGATGGTCATCGCTCATCATTTACGAATTTTCTGGACTCTTGATGGCCTTGAAGATCGTCTAATGCACTGAACAAGGCTAAAGTGTTAAATTCTCTCATTATGATGCTTGAACCGCAAGAAAAATTTCAAAATTTCATAATCATCTCCATTGTTCGGAAATCGTTTGATTTAATACACAACAGATAAAGAAAGTTTTGCCTTTTTAAATCATGCTTGAGCCAAAATTCCTTGATGCGACATCTCCACGATTCAAGCTTTAAGTAATGTGGTCAAAAAATGTTTCGTAAATTTTTGGTCGCAGAAATGCTGGAACTTTTCTTGATTTAAGTTAGTTTTGCTTTTGAATTTCATGACTTGCCCTTCACACCCAAAAAATTTCATGTTGATCGCAAGAATGAATAGTCCTGATTTCCGGGATTTGACAAAATTTCATTATAATCTAAAATAAGTTCTAATATGTATAGCAAAGACAGAATTGGCATATGTAACAGAAATTCCGTATTACAATCTTTGTAAAATTTTGCATACATTTTTAAAGAAATCTCGGTAATCTGTGGTGCAATATTTTTTTTTATATATCAACCCAGTAAGAAGCTTAACCTACCTTGCGGCACCAATCTATTGTCCTTTACAATTTGAAAAAAATATGATATATGAGCCGGCACTTGCTCTCATTCTGAACTTTAAGAGTAATTGCTATTTTACAATCACATCTGCTGCTGTAGCGACGCCTTACAAGATTATGTCTTTGATCTCTTTGGGTAGAAGTTGAAATATTATTTGAAGTTTTGCTCTTTCTGAATCAGTTTCAAAATCTAATGTATGAGCTTTTGAAAAAATTGAAATTCTATAGGGAAGTGTTTATAAGAAATTTGATAGTTTCTCTGTGCATGTAGCATCTTCTATAGTAGTCTGTTGACATACAAAAATTAGACACTCATGGTTGAACTCGTTTGAACTCACTGAGTTACCGTATCCATTCTAGAGCAAAACAAATCTATAATAACATGTAAAAACCTCGCGAAATAGGATTACGCAGAAGAGGCAGTTAACCTGCCCGAACAAAGCCGATTTATGACTGCGAAAATCCTTTACAAAGCAAAGATTCTATGATTCAATAGAAATATGAATACATCAGGTGAAGAATGGTGAGTATCAGTGGGTTGCTATGGTGCTGCCTACGAAATGATAAATTTTCAAAAATTCGATACTTGTAAATCACCCGTAATAAGTTTCTTCATTCAGCAATATGATATTGTGCACTTAAAGGGAAATTGAGTTTAGGTTTAGAACCGGTCGAGTGTTATCATATAAGGTAAAATGAATTTTTATGAAATCGCCCGCGCAGGATGATTGAAAAAATTTTGAAAACCTAACTTTATAATTACTAGCTTCACAATTTTGATCTATTGTTAAGGTTTACAAGATCGACGAATCTGCTTATTCCATATTCATACCTTGGATATGTTGATTAGGGCTTGTAATAAAAATTTTTGCTAATATTTCACCTCAATCAAAATCATTTCAGTTTGAGGGAGCTCTCTCTTGTACAACTCTTCTGTACAATAGAAATGCTCTAAAGAAAGAGCAGACTTTTTTTACAATTTGCCAATTTTCATCATTTCTAAAAAAATAAAACATTATGTATTTGCGTTTTACTACCATACAACATGATCGAAATATTTTTGAAAACCTAACTTTATTCATTAGCTTTCGCAATCTCAATTCTTGAAGGAATACATGATAGCCTAAATTGTTTATGACCTGATGGTAATTCCTTGCTAACTTGCAAAAAAATTTGCTAATAAATCAACTTCTTTGGATCAAACTTGCCTCAATCCGCGCAAGCTCTCTTTGTCTAAATCAATTTTTCTGTGTCATAAAAATGCTTTTGATGAAGAGCAGATGTTCCTGCAACTAGTGTATAGCCATCGTTCTTCGAGGTTGACCGATTACAATGACGTACATGCTCTGGGAAAGTTTATCGTTTCTTATCTTTGTTTTTTACGATATCGTTTGACGACAAGTGTGTCCGCCTGTCATATCAGATCTAAAGAAAAAAAGAGGAGGTCAATTTATTCATTTTAGGGAGTTATATAAGGTGTTGCAAAATGTGTTAGTTTGAGTTTTGCTTGTGGATGCAACCCAACGTTTGGTTGTGTCCATTCTTCGAATTTTTATATTTATTTTTATCGAAACGCCTAGGGCTCGCGCAAGTAAATGAAATGCAATTCTTGAAAGGCTAAAGACAAAAATATAATATGGTAGGCTGTCCCATAAGTCTTTTCATATCAGCGAAATTCGACTTACTTAATGTTTTAAACTTAGACTCAAGCGACTATTTTATAGAGCCATAAGCTCTACAAGATGATTTTTGAAAATCGCAAAAGGTTTGGTACACCTGAAGTCTCAAGCCGAAATTCAAAATTTTTCCAATGTCGGAAAAATAGGATCTTAGCCCAGAAAAATTTTACGGACCTCCAACTTGCTCAGGTCTATAGTCCTCACATCAGGCATTTATGTTTACGTTTGTTGAGTTTTTTCCATTTCTAGGAATCGAAAGACATAAATGGGCCAAAATCGCAAAAATCCCAGAAAACGCCTCTTTTTCTGGGCTTTCCATGTCAGACTTCTTATTTGTCGAAAAGTAAAGCATATGGAAGTCTAAAAGTCTTAGTAGTACTCACAAAGGTTCTATTTTACATCTGTCTATGTAGGAACAGCCCAGCATAGCTTTTACGAAAACATGCATTATATGCTAGAACAAATTAGAATTCTGTAGGATTTTCTGGACAAAGATTTGATTTTTTTTTCAATTTTTGGGCATTTGGGTGTTTTTAGATTTCGGGTTGGGATTTTGTGCGGATCACTTGGTGTCAATGTTTGAAAGTCTTCCTTTAGAGATTGCTTTGATCTATCGAGGGATAGCCCGATTACCGTGAGAAATTTACGAAGAAGTGGCTTATGGCAGTGAAGAATTGAACATGAAAAGACTTAGGGGATAACCCAAGATAGTAATCAACTTTGAAAAATTCGAAAGTGTGTTCTACGATCACTAATCGTCTAGGACTATTGATAATAGAAATATCAATCACGTGTTCAGGAAAATCGTTGGTTAAAATCAGCTTAGCTCATTATCAAATCTCCTCAATGCAAGATTTTTTCGCGCAATTTTTGACTCATATTTCCTGGTACTGCAGAATCTGCAATAGCTTATGATTCTAGCAAAACATCAACCCACAATAATTTAAAAATGTCTCCTAGCAACAGGGCAGGGCTAACCTCTAGTCTCTGTGACGACATACACGACGTCGAAAATGAAATTTCAAGAATAAGAAAATGCAATTGAATAGGCACTTAATGGGCTCTGACTATGCTCTGCTTTTAGCCCATTCGAAGTGTATGCAAATGTGCCTGGCAAGAAGGAAGCGAACGCCTTTTGAAGCCTTGAAAATCAATTCTCATCTGGTGCTTCGCATTTCTTAAGCTTCGAACACGAATACAATTCATAAACACATTCATTGTGTCACATACACCTCCAAGCACAGCTTTGTCATCTTCCAGTTGTTTCTGTTTATCACACACTCTGAGACGAACCCGGTCTCTACACACCAGCATCCACGAAAGTCAATTAATCTTCGCCCTTTCATTCTTTTCTCGGTTTCCACGTACACGGGTTCAATTCGCACAATTTTTGCTTTTTGTTCTGCACTTTGACGTAGCAAGGTATGACATTCTAGATAATCATCAAGATCAACTTCTTTTCATGCGCTTGAGAATTTAAACGGAGTTACCGAAAGAGATTATTATCTAGAATTCGTTAGCGTCAAAGATGTAATTCTAGCCTTTCTGTGAAACATTTTTCGTTTCATCTACGTAGCAAGCCTATTTATCTAGTCCATATAAAAGTTTGGTAACCGGAGAGCTGTGAGCAAACTTTATAGCTGGGTAATAAAATACCCAATGTGAGAGTCATTTAAGCTTGGGTTACCACTCAATGTAGACCTTCCAATTTCCACTTAACAACTTCTGAATCCTTCTAACTGAAGCGTTTAGCATCTACAGTATTTTTCAAGACTTTCATATGGGATGAAGCCCTATTACATAGAATTAGAGAAGCCATTCTTCGGTTTGTTTTTATTTCACACGAAAGCTGATGCACTTCTTTTTGTTCCTACTTCAAGTGATTTATAAGGCCTTCAGCAGTATAGGGATAGAAGAGAACTTCTTTCTTAATATTTCAAATGGTCTCAGAAGCTTAGGAGAAGTAGGTACTTCCCTTTTGCCTAAGTTCAAAAACACAAAATGTTTCGAGCGAAGGGGTAAAAGCTTTGAAATGCAATAGCGAAGTGCTAATAGCTACAGAAAAAGCTTTTAAGGAAACCAATTGTTGTCCAAAAATTCTTTCATGCTAGAAATAAAATGCTATAATTCTATCTTATTTCATGTTAGTCTGATAGTACCAACTGCCTTTTAAAACAGTGATTTTTGACTGAGATCATTATTTCTACTAATGGCTTTATATCTTCTTTTTTTATATTCTTGATGACTGTTGCCTAGATGTTTCGACTAGTCGAAGGCGCACTTTTTGTGCAATAAATAAAATAGAATGAATACTTCCAAAAGGCAAAGATTTAAGATAGAGTTTGCTGATCATAGGAAACCATTCAGCAAAAAAGAATTCACAGTTTCCCCTCTGAATTGATTTTGATAAAATTGAACAGAAATTTTTTTGTGACTATAACTGGATTGCCTACAAATAAAAATAATGAGAGAATGAATACTTTGTTCAAAACTGAATATGGTAAAATTTTCACCCCCCCCCCCCTCCCGTTTGCTCACTGATTTTGATCTCAGATATGAAGGTCCTTTGCTGGGACTTCGCCCTCACCCTCAGCGAACTTTAAGATATCCTTTTTGGTCCCTAGAGTATGCAACCCAAAAAAAAAACAAAATCTTATTTGTTCTGCTCTCGCTGGGCTGCTCGTGCCGAGAGCCGAATGCCAATTTGATCAGCATCTCCCTAAGGAAAAACTGCTCACGCCTCAGCTCATTCCGAGAGCATTTGACATGTTCTTTGCAGAATTCAAGCAATTGTTGTCTTTTTACAGCTTTTTCTAATCACACATTTCCTCTAATAGACCATGACATGTGTGCCCAGTTTGAGTTCCTGATTTTTGCACCAAACATCCTTGCCATTGCACATTTCCTTATTAACTTGTTTTTGCGCGCTGAGATAGAAATGGCTAGAGATCGCTCTCACTATGTAAATTCTGAGGAGGAACTGAGCAAACTCGGACACGTCTAAATACCGAAGTTAGCTTGAAAGTAGGCGTGTTTCTCCATGAACGCTTCCTTCACTGATAAATATCCTCTACTCACACCAAATGAGCTCAACTATTACGGATATTTACATCACCTTCCTCATTTTGAGTGCTTCTTTCACTTAGAACTGCGGACTTGCACGACTAATAATAATGTTTATGTGAGTTTTTAAACTCTACTGCTATTCGAGCGGGTTTTATGGAGCTTTCCTGGGCCTAGAAAAAGTAGAAAATTGATATTTTACAGATTTTATCCACTTGGTGTGCTCTACCGACATCAAACTATGTGTGAGTTTTGCTAGTTCGGTTTTTTGGCATATTTGAGAGGGAATACATATAAAGCGGGGTCTTGCCTTGACTTTTATACCCTGTAAAGCTCACAAACGTCATTTTATGACAGCCGTGTGCGGAGATCCAAGCTGAGAGGGAAAAAGTGCCGCTGGTCAGCTTACTCCCACACCTCATTTGCGCTCTTCTAAGCCTCGGCTTTGGATCATCTGCTTTGGCAGAATTCCAATTCTTCTAAATACCCGGATATTTGCCGCTAGACCTGTCTACTCCTTTTATCCTATAAATTTAGAACCGATTTATTCTTACTTTCTTTTTCGACTTCACTAAATCGAGTCAATTCAAAGCGGAAGAGCTCGCGTACGAGCACAAATCGACCGGGCGCCGAAGAGCCTATGTCGCCTTCGGCTCTTAGCCTGAGGCCTCGGAGAGTGCGTAAGCCTCCTTCCACCCAGGCCTTGGAAGTAAAGTCTTTAAAGGACAACAAAGCCGTGAAGAACAGGAAAAACAACACTTTGAAAGGGGAAATAGGGAAAATAGTAGGTAAAAGGACCAAAACGGGGAGAAATTCTAGGAGAAGAAGATGTGAGTATCGTAAATGTAGAAGACAAATTCTGAAATCTTATGAATTTTCAGCTATCACTCAACGTCGCCAATCTCCCATTGATATCATAAGTCAGGCTATCTGTCATGATCCTGAACATTGCAAGGTAAGTTTTTTACCTCGAATTATTACTATCTTTCCAATTCTCCTCCATTTTGCTTTGTCAAGAAAAATTCCAAACTTTTTTGCTCCCCCCCCCCGTCCAGAAATCTGACGAAATCTTGACCGAGATTTGCCGCCAAATAATCTTTGTACCCTGCTCTAGTAGCTGCAGTCGAAAGAACAGCCCAGTGGGGGCAGTTTCAGCCCCATTGATCAATTATAACGCCAACCGCTCTTGTGCAAATAAGACCCCGCTAATTCTATATAATCCTATTTGAGACTTTGGTCCCTGATAAATGTTTGGTTTTATAGATTTTTTGAAAATTTCAGCCTGAAACGTTGAATATCAAATATGCAAAGGGCGATTGTCATCATGTTGTATGCAGTAAGACCGGATTCAAAGTGCATGTATCGGACAAATGTAGCACAAGTGAGTAGTTTTACAATAAATTTACAAGTTTTGATTAATTGATTGTTGTTTTAGCTGTCACTGCGAGTCATCTGCCAGGGACCTACAAATTGGCTCAATTTCATGCTCACTGGAGCAAAGATGGCACATGCGGTTCGGAGCATCTTCTGAATGGAAAAGCCATGAGTGGGGAGGTAAAAAATCTACTTTTAGATTTATGGAGGATTTCCGAGATGTAGAGAAGTTCTAAAATTCAAAATTCACTTTTTTGTTAAAAAAACGAATTGGCCAAACATGAAAAGGTACAGACCCAAATTTTTAGGTTCACTTCGTCTTTTGGAACACAAAATATGAAACGATGGCTAATGCAGCCGAAAAAGATGATGGCTTGGCTGTGATTGGTGTCTTCATCAAGGTAATCCAATCGTTTTTTCTTTTTTCTTTTTTTTCAAAACATCCCCACGTAAAATGGTAGGAAGGCCGCCGAGCAGGTGCTTTTTCATAGTGCAGAATCTTGCAGATTATAATTTTTGACGAAAGACTAAACAGTTGCTAAGCATTTATTTTTCAATTAATATTTTATTTGTAACCATCACTGATTAAATTGCTCTATAGATATCGTTACTCTGCAATCTCACTGCATTCTGGAAGCCTGCATGAAACAGAAAGCCCAAATAATGCCAAAACTTTGTCCTTGCCAAAAACATTAGGTCGTTTCAAAAGTAATTTCGCTTTTTTCAAACGGGCACCAGATTTGAAGGAACAAAGCTTTCTAAGAGATCTTAGAAGCATTCGATGCAAAATTTCATTCTCTTTCTAATGGTTATGATAATGTTGCAAAACAGTCAATAAGCTTTCAGAAAATAACCAAAATTTGCGACCCATTCTTTTTTAGATGGTCAAGTTTCACGATTTTTTAAAACTTTCAAAACAATCCTCAGAAGGAGTTCAAGTAAAGATTCGGTAGAGTAAACCTTACAAAATACACTACTACTTTTTTCTTTTTCTCGTAGCTCGCCGTAGTTTTTTAAAAGATTTTTTAGCAGAACCATCGGATTTTAGCAGGCCCACCTCAACCACAGTCGCATCAAACATCAGTAATTACTCGGAATTTCAAGCTTTCAAGATGATATATGACTTAATATTGATTTTATAAAGCAAATGAGAGTTTATGGGTTCGAAATATCAAATTTCGAATTTTTTCGGGTACAGCCTGGGGCTCGCTAAAAAAATGAGTTATGATGATTTCTCCCGGAAACTAAACGAATCGGAAACAAAAAACACCTGTTGGAAAGAGGAGAAAATGCTGCATCGAATAGTGCGCGAGCTGCTCTTCTTTTGATGTTCTATGAGGATTTAGCTGCCCAAGTATAGAAATCGGTAGCATCAGTTAAAATTCTGTTAAAAATGTAGGACAAGCTATGGAAAGGAGAAAAAAGTAGTTTCGCATTCTGTAGGGTTTGCTCTATAAAGGCGTCACTTGTACTTTTTCGGAGGGTTGATATAAAAGTTTTAAAAAATTGTGAAACTTGACTATCTCAAAAAGCATAGGTCGCAGATTTTGGTTATTTTCTGAAAGCTCATTGGCAGTTTTGCAACAATTTCATAACCATTAGAAAGAGAATGAAATTCTGCATCGAATGCTTCTAAGATCTCTTAGAAAGCTTTGTTCCTTCAAATCTGGTGCCCGTTTGAAAAAAGCGAAATTACTTTTGAAACGACCTAATATTTGCCAAGAAAATCAAATAAATTATTTTCGTTTAGGAAGGAGCTCATTCTCCTCAGTATGATCCTCTGTTTAAAGTGGTCCAACAAGCAATTAGCTCATCCGCTGAAGTACCAATGCCTGCCGACTTTGTTCTCGAACAGCTGTTCCCTCCTCCGGGTAACTTTTTACTCTAATAGCATAGAGTCTGATTATTTTTCACTTGTGGCACTATCGATTATTTTAGGGACCAATAATTCTTGTTATTAGAAAACATTTTAAATATTTTAATAATCTACTCAAGTTCGGCAACTTCGAAGGCAAACTCAAATTCAATGAAAGAAAGAAAAAGAAAAGAACGAAAATAAAAACCCAAAAGAATTCAAAATAAAATTTTTCGAATTTGAAAATAAAAACGGCGTCTAAGAGAGAGATAAAAGAATTTTTTAATATCATTTTTTATCAAATAACTCAAGAAAATGTTTTTGGAAAACTTCTTCTCCAAGATGAGCTTTTGAAAATTTTATAAGCATCTGATTCTGATAATCTGTGTCGTAAACGTTTGCTTTCTTTGTTAATGCTATTATGAACGAATCTTGCAGGGGGACATCCATTTTATCTGGAATTTTCAAACGGATTAAAAATCAAAAATTTTCCTTTTTTACTCGTAAACGGTTGGTCACCATCAAAGAATTGTTGTTCCTTTCAAATTTCCGTCCATATTTCCTGGGCATAAAATCATAAACCTTATTAGCAGCACAGCCGTCAAACTCGTTAGCAATTGCATTCGCTTCCACTGAGCTTTTATTTGCATTTTGCATGCTATTCTGTTCTCAAACAGTGCAAAAAGTCCGTATGTTTAACCACTGACGTCATTTCGGTGCTGTCAATTGGCAAAGCAAATGAGCTTTCGCCTGAATGGATAGCATCCAACACTCAGCATAGTGCTTTTCTAATCCGAAGAAATCGGATTGAAGGGGGCTGTTCCTTGTATGGGGCTTATCACGATCTTCGTGAGAACGAATATTGACGTGGACTTGGCATTTAGAGGCTTTGAAAGGGGCTATTCGGAAATGTAAAGTGATTATTTTTGAAGGATTGCCTAAAAACGCAGAGTCAAGGCCAAACAAGCGTTTAGGGCAATAAAATTATTTATCGCTTGCACTCTGGAGCTCCAAATTTAGCCAAGTTGTTTGAAAAATGGTTTTCATTTTGCGTAAAGAACCACGTAAAATTTTTACTTTGTTTGGTACCGCGTGAAGGCGTGCTTTGTGGGCTAGATATTAAGCGATGGGTGTCGAAGGGGGACAGGGGAGCGCTACAATCGTTAAGCAGTTTCAGCTAATGTCTTTTTTTTTCAATAAATCAATGTTTTTGTGTTCGTGATTATGCTAGACAGTTGGATTAAGTGTAGTTGTTTTTGTTAACCAGGAAATTGCATTCTAGCAAACTGTTTTGAGCAGAAAAATAGATGAGGGCGGAGAGAGGGAGGCGTGAAGGTGTAGATTACGTCGAATCGAGCACGTATAGGCCAGTCATCGCACGCAGAGAATGGACGTCGTTACGTCCAAGAAAGCAGTGCGTGTTTAGAAGAGACGGCAGACGGGAAAAGAAATGAGACTGTGCTCGATGAGAGAGACGCCGGCAGCGTCCGTAATGGCGTCCTGTCTCTGCGTGAAATGACTCGCCTTACAAATTCATCATATTTATTCTATTCTTTTAAAAACAGCTGTGCCCAATTGACAAGATTTCAATAAATTTGTGTCAAATTTTTATGTTTTCACCTTCAGAATCAATTTCTTTGCAGGACAACGCGATTACGTAACATATCTTGGATCTCTCACCACTCCTCCTTATTCTGAAACTGTGATCTGGACTGTGCTCACCACCCCTGTCGAAGTCTCCAAGGAGCAGGTACTTTACCCATCTAGGCATAATTTTGAAAATAAAAATCTTGGAAATAAATTTATTTTTTAGCTGAACATCGTGCGCAAAATTGTCGATGCCAACTATCGCGAATGTCAGCAACTGTGCGAACGTACCATCAGGGCTTCAGTCAAGGTCTAACGTCACTGATTCTGTAGAATCAGTAGTTTTGAAACGATTTCTTTGCCCATGACAAATTCCAAAAAGCACAGCAGCTTGTGCCAATTATCAGTGTCAGAGTTTTATATGTAATATTCGCTTTTTTCCCCGATAAAAAACGGTTATTGCTGTAAATATAGAATAAATGCATAGAGATATGCGAATTAATCTGTCAACGGATTAGTTCACCTTTACCTAAAATAATGATGCCAACGCATGTTTGATGAATTGTTCTGGTGTACTATTACTAACGAGTAGTAATGAATATTGTCTAAGTATTATCTAGTTTTGCATTTTTGGGAGTTCTTCGGACTTTAAGAATATTTTCTTTGCAAAAGTAACCGAAGTTCAGGGATATAGTATCTGCTCGATTGCAGTGTAATTAGCGTTTTTTATCCCATAAGTAACTACTATCTCTATTCAGATGAAGCGTAAGGTAATTACTTTCTCCGAAACTATCACAGTATGTTCAAATGAACTGCAAATACCTGGAACGCAGGTGCCCGATCAAAGTCTCAAGGCTCATCGAAGTGATTCAGTAAGTAATTTCAGAATGTTCTGGACTGGAACTTGTGATTGTTTTCACCATCAATGGCATAACTGATAACTGTAAAAGCGGAGCCAGAAAAAACAGCTTAAGTTACGAAAACTTACAAAAAAGGATGGAAAACTGGTGAGCACCAAAAATAAAAAACAGAGTTAGCGAAATCCTTCTTCGCAAGGGCTCTGTAGAGAATTGCAATATATATTTTTTGGGTTACAAATCACCTTTATGGAAAATGGACAATTATCATGGTGCTTCGGCAAGCTTAGAGCTATGAAGTATCTTCAAAAATCTAAGTTATTTGGGAGTTTTGCAGAAATCATTATGCAAGCTGTACAGCCTTCTTCTCATGGGCTTGAAGGGTAATTTTTAATAGCAAAATTACCTATGAAGAATGGAATTACATCTATGCAAACAATCAAAAAAAATTGTAACTGTTTGATTTTACATCACTGAAGATGTTGCATCACGTTACTGCATCAGGGCTCGGCACGAGAGCTTTCCGAAAATGTTTACCCTGACTTAAAAAATTTTGCGAGGTACCCTTTGACTTCAAACCATAAAGATAGAAAACCTCCAAGAAAAACGAAAGTCGAGTAAAAAATAACGTAAGCTGTGTTTTTTTGGCTACAAAAACGATAAGCCTTTTGCTTTTTGTACCAAAAACGTGGTGTCAAGCCCTGCACTGCATAGCGCAAGATTAAGATTACATGATGGATGGCATTACAGTAATACTACCGTAATCCCTGCCTAATTACAAACACAACCTCGCATAGTTTGCTTGTGGAAAATAGTGCAAGAAATAATAATGTTAACTGGCAAATTATTCCTACATTTCGTGCACAAGCTTTTTTTCTATAGTGGCTCATCTCTTCCCGTGCAAACTTTTTCCCATAAAGGATACAGATGTCCCCTGTGAAAATGTATTGCATTTGAAATGATCCTCAACTCCATGAAATGCTAGCGGATGTGACAAAACTTCTTCGGATCCCCTAGTACTTGCTATCTGAGCAGAAACAAATACACAGGAACCCATGTGCACCACTCAAAAAGATATAATAGTACATTTATTGTGCCTTTTCAACAGCGCTAGGTTTTTCTGATTCTCCAATTACCGCTATTTACGTATGTTCACAAAAAAGCGCCGCGTGCTACAAACATACAAATTACATATTCAAATGGCTCTCGTTACTGAGAATCGAGAAAAAGTGAAGCTCGGCATAAAGAGCAATTTTGTTTTGCTGAAACCATGTCTTCTGCAAAAAAGAAGGGAATTAGAAGCGATGCTAAAAACTGTGAGGTGCTCCTTCCTGTTCGATTTTGCGAAAAAAGCTGTAAATCAGATTACAGTCAGGGGTAGATCAATAGATAACTTTATAGTGGCCAAGTATGGTGATACAATAGTTCGAAATAACGAAAAAATTATTCACTAGAAAAATACCTAATTAGTGACAAAATGGCGGTTCGTAGTAGTAGTTCGTTGAGAGTACAATTTCCTGATACTTTCTATTAAAACGGGATGCCATTGAATCACTTGAATGAAGTTCCTCTGTTCATCAAATTCTAGAAACTATACCACCTAAGCAAAACAATTTTATAATTGCAATCAAAACCCGAGGGTCTTCTTCGGGTGGAATCCCGCAATCAAATCGTTTGTCATAACAGGTGCTATAACGACAAGAATGTAAGCAATGCTCACGTCAGTCAGTGCATTCATCATTCCTAATACTTGTTGCTTCAGGAGCTGACATGGTAACTGGCTTAAACCGACTTTTCTAATTGCTAATTTATTGCTAGTGGCATAAGTTGCTCCATTAAAAAATTGCTGTGCGATGTTCTGGAAATATTTTTGAAGCTTTAGGATAATATTAGGTCGCTCCGAAAGTAATGTCGCTTTCTCCAAATGAACGCCACATTTCATAGATTTAAGATTTTTAAGAGATCTTAGAAGTATTCGATGCAGCATTTTATCCTCTTTCTAAAGGTTGTAATTTCATTGCATAATATTCATCGAGCTCTCGAAAAATTACCAAAATCTGCGACTCATGCTTTTTGCCATGGTCAAGTTCGGCTATTTTTCTAATTTTTTGTACCTAATCTCCGAAGAAGCACAAGTGATCGATAGATAGAGCAAACTTTTTATACAGAGTAATTTTTTTCTTTTCCTTAGCTTGCTACTTAGAGTTTCTGGAATCAATTTTTCAATGCCATCAAATTCCATATTTGGTCAGCTCAAACCTCACAGAACAACAACCGGCAAGCAACTCGGGTGTCGTTCGATGCAGCTTTTTCTCCTCTTCTAGCTGTTGTTTTTTGTTTCTGATTCATCAAGTTTTCCAAAATAAAATTTCATAATCTAGGTTTTCCAAGGCACCCCAGGCTGTACCCGAAATTTTCGAAAGTTGCTAATCTAAAGCGGTAAATGCTCATTTGCTTTGTAAAATTAGTGCCAAACCATAATCCATCTTTGTAAGTTCCAAAATCCGAAGATTCCTTGGCGTTTGATGCATTTGTGTCTGAGACGAGCTCTGAGACGAGCCTGCTAAAATTCGGTGGTTCCATCAAAAAATCTATACAAAAATTATGACCGGCTCTGGAAAGTAGAAAAAAGTTTCGCTGTTTCCTGTAAGGTTTGCTCTATCCATCCATTACTTGGACTCCTTCCGAGGGTTGTTACAAAAATTTAGAAAAGTTGTGAAACTTGGCCTTCTCAAAAAGCATGGGTCGCAGATTTTGATGATTTTTCGAGAGGTTATTGAATTTTGTGCAGTGGTTATATAAGCATTAGAAAGAGAATGAAATGCTGCATCAAATGCCACCAGAATCTCTTACACATCTTTGTTCCACGAGATGTGGCGTACGTTTGAAAAAAGCGACATTACTTTTGGAACGACCTACATAATACAACACTTGAACGATATTTCAGAAAAACGAGCAAAATTTTTGAGGATCATCTTCACAAAGAAATTTTCACCAGCTTTTATCGACTTCGTTGCAATGCATTTCTGATACAATTCTTCTGTTCGAGCTTTATGTCAAAAAGGCAAAAAGATTGATAAAATATTTTGAAAAAATTGTTTTGGTGTTTTTTTTTTGCAACAATCACTGAATATTTAGCGCTAAAAGGTTAGGTTAAGACTAAGGTTCAGGCTAAATTTTCTGATTCTATTATAGAACATCAAGTGTTCAAATTTATTCATTTTGCAAGATTTCATGGTCTTTTTGCCAAAAATTTTTGAGATAGCAAATGTATATGAGGGGATTCGCTCTAGGTAAAAAAAAGATAAGGAATTCCTCAATTTTTGTATTTTTGTAGAATAACGGCAAAATTTAGAAAAAACTACCGCCCCGTACTTACATGTGGAATAAAAACTAAAATAAACTATACAAATTACGCACCAGATGCTGTGTAAAATTGTAATTGTTGAGGAAAACTTTTACAGTAGTGGAAGACTGCACAGGAAATTTTCTAACGTAATCTTGTTGAAGTGAAAAAAAACCATTATTTTTTTTATTGTATGAAGTTTAGCTCTTTAGTACATTTCATTAAAATCTGTGAGCATTGAGGAAAGAATGATCAACTTTGAAACCCGACAACCTTTTTATTTCACATTTCGGGTTTTTCGTAAGATTACTTCAAGTGTACTGAGTATGGAGAAGTCCTCATAAAAACGTGTTGTACTTCTTTGCACGAAAATGCAGAGAATGCACTCAACTGCGAGGGCGAGGTTCAGATTTCTTGAATAATTTGATGCTACTGAAATATTTTATAGTTCGGAACGAGATGTTCGAATAATCAATAAGTTTGTGAGATTAATATTATAAAACTTGCTGTTAATATATTAATTATGCAAATTTAGAAGCAGATTATCGTGTATGATTGTGCCCAATTTCTTTTCTATGACGTTTTAACTTATGAAAGTATCTATGGCATGATTTCAGCAATGAATTAATTTTAGGTCAATTTTACATAGGAAAACCAAAAACTCTTAAAATAAAGTTCTCCACCGCTGTTTGGATATTGCCCTAAGAATCTTAGGTTGAACATGTATGAACAGAGAAAAGAACTATAGCGAAAAATTTGCAATGATTGCAGTGTTTCTTTTCTAACAACTTGTAGTCACCTGAAGATGTGAAAAAAATTGTACTTTGATGTTTCCTTTTCATTCAGTTAAGTACTATATAAAAAAAACCTTGCAATCAAGTTTATTCACTTATAAGCTACGATAACGTAAGTTTTAGTGCTGCAGAATTTTCTAGCTGGATTTGCGTCATAGAAGTTTCTTTCTGTGTGACTATTATCCACATCATCTTCTCATTGATTTATCTATTTTTTATGCTGGAACATGGGCTGCACAATCTCTTCGTTTTGTTACTATTTGTTGATTAAATTCGTAATGCATTATTAAGTGCTCATCACATTTTATTAAAGCTGCATATATAAGCTATCCACGAGCTGAAACATCGTCTACCGCATTGTAAAAATTGTAACCTGGTTTTTGAAGCGTTTGCAAATATCGAAATTTTGGCCACTGCTTTGGAAAAATTAGGTTGTCTTATAAATTTCGTCCATTTTCACTTTTCATCCCAATAACTAAGCCCGGGGGTACTTTTCGGTAAAGTAAAGCAAGCACTAGCTAGTGCCCAAACATTCGCGCAAAATTTCCACATTAAGTTTGAGTCAAAATCTAGAAACTTCTGAAAGCTTGAAAACTCGAAAAACATTCAGAGCTCTGCCTAAAAAACTCTTAGGGACCTGTAACTTTTTTATGTATCCTCATCTGACATTTACATGCACATTTATTGTAATTTATCGTTGTAGAAATTGTAAAACAGAAAATTAGGCCAAGAAAACGAAAATGTCGCTTTTTCGGTTTTTCAACGTGAAACCTGACATTTCTCGAGCTATTGCTTGCAGAAGGCCAAAAATTTGTGATTATACTTTTGAAGGCTTGTGCTATAATTTCTTATGCGAGAACTGCTCAGCATCGCTTTGAGATTAATGGCAAATTTTGTTTCATCAATTTTTAGCTTTGGACAAAATACCGCTGGTGTAAATCTGATTGTTAGATGAATGTATATACGGGTGGACGGGTTACAGGGCCCTAAAAATTTTTTAGGCGAGTTCTGAATGTTTTTTGGCTTCTAAAACTTTTGGATTTTGATTTCAAACTCATTATAGATTGGAGTTTGTGCGAATGTTTGGGAACCATTCTGTAGAGCCTGATTTGTTTCGTTGAAATCTACCCCTAAGGCTTATTTGAGAAGCAAGAGAAATGGGAGTTATTGGGGTAAAAAGTGAAAACGATTGGAACTTACGGAACAACCCGATATGTTCTTTTTTTCCTTATTTTGACGATTGACTCTCATTGCAGGTGTAGGTAACGAATTGCAAAGCAGTTGTATTTGAAGATAAGATTTGTAATTACTATGATTTACATAAAGCGGAAATGAATCTGTTCGAAGTCTATTTGACGTCTTTAGGTTTTACTCGTTGTAGCTAATCATAACTTACGCAATGCAAGGCCTTACCTTAGTATCTCCTAACTGACGCTATTCACCATCGTTAATCCAATTGGACAAACGCAAACGCAATTTTTTTTTGCTACAATCGGACTTTGTACCTTGTAGGATGTTAAGTCGGTTAAAAGCTTTCAATTGTTTTTCTATAATCGGGTGATAATCCCTACCAACAATGAAAGTTTATGCTTAACTTAGTAAATTGAGGCTTTAGCACTACTTGTAGTATTCAAAGGTTTCCTCTAACTGAAAGGAAGCAGCACTTTTCTCTTCCAGAAGCACTTTTGTTTCTTCAAGTTGTACTCTGTTACGGTATTTTGGGATAAAAATCTTGATAATGGCTTTCATGAATATTTCCATCCCCATTGAGCAGAAAGGCTGTGATTTTATTATTTTTATCATTCCGTCTTAAGAAACATGATGATGTTATCAAGAATAAGTTATTTTTCTTTTGTCATAGCCTATAACATAGAAAAATGCCTTTTGAAGTGATTTATAGTGAAAGTTAAAGTAAAAGCAATGGGATTGTGTTACCTGTAAGAATAGATTATCAGTATGTTTTATTCGACCAATAAAATGTGTGAAAATGTAATTATGCTGAAAAGAATATTTCTAAAAGATTTTACTAGTAGCCTTTCTCATGTCATTCAGAAGTGCTCACGATAACCATTTTCATTCTGTTGCAGATGTTCTTTGTGAGCTCTTACTATTTGGCTTGCACCCTGCTTTCAAGAACAGTTAAATATTAGGTTGGTGCAAAAATTTTGTCAGTTTTTTTCAATTCATCGGCAAACACGCTAGAATGATAATAAACAAACGCTTTGAAATGTATCCAATGCCGAATTTCTTTCTCTTTCCAGCTGCTAAACTCCCATTATGTTTCCTTGCGAAAGTGACGAGATATTTGCTGGAAATTACAACTACTCGTTTTTACCAGTTCCAAATTTCGCTAATCTTCTAAATTTTTGTATGGAACTTTCGGAGGATCCCTAATAACCATCAGATAGGGCAAACCTTTTGCCAACTTATGCAATTTTTTTCTTTTTTTCAGCTGGTTTTTTAGATTTTTGTTAAATAATTTTCTAATAGTGTTGCGTTTTGAAAAAATCGCATAACTTGTTATTGCATCAAACACTGCAAAGCCTACAGAATACTGAGGTTTCAACACTCGATTATTACTACCGCTACCATTACAAAGTAAATGAGCGATTTTTGCTTCGAATTATGAAGATTTTGGAACATAGGTTACGTCAGTGCGCACTCCTGAAATTGAGAAATACTGCGGTTTTTTCCACAAATTTCGCCTGTTTCGGTGAAAAAAGACAAGTGTTAGAAGGAGGAGAAAAAGTTGCATCGAATGGTGACTGAAGTGTTTAACATTTTATGTTCTACAAGGTTAAAATAGGCTGAATGTAAAATTTGGTCACTTCAAAAAATAAATCGTAGAAATTTTGACAGACAAGGCGTAGGGCTACAAAAAAATTGCTTCTTTTGGCAAAAGGTTTCCCTTTCTAATGGTTATTAGGGCTGCTCCGAAGGTCCCATACAAAATTTTTGAAAATTAGCGAAATTTGGTCGTGGTAAAAACGAGTGGTTGCGATTTCCAGCAAATATCTCGTCGCTCTTGCAACGAAACACAATATGAGTTAGCATCTAGAAGGAGGAAGAAATTCTGCATCGGATGCATTTGGAAGTGTTTGTTTATCTTCTTTCTAGCGTGTTTGCCGATAGATTGAAAAAACTGACAAAACTTTTGCACCAACGTAATATTTCAGTTGTAAGCTTTTTTGGTGCATGGCCAAGAAAAGTCTAGTGATTTTCCATCTCCGCCGAGATTTTGTTCTATTCTCGAAATCCAGCAGTGCATGAATTTTACCTCATTTTTGGCCAGTGATGTCTGGTCAGCAAGGCATAAAACTTTTTTGCTTTCACAATGTTTGCTTACCCAATGGTTCTATAGATCACAAGAAAATTGTAGTCTGGCAGAATGTGCACACAATTTGATTTGAAAAAGAAAATTTTTACTACTGAGTGGTAGCGGTAACGGCTAGCTTTATTTGGAAAAAAAATTTTTTCATCATACTGACAGTAAGGGCAGAAATTCACAGCATAGAAAAGGACAGTTTTTCTAACATTTTGAAACAAGCTTAACTTTTAAGAAAATTGTAAAAGCATTCAAGTGTGTGACACTTTCATAACTTTGCATTTAGAATAACAATCCATTTATGAAATTTTCGAAGTGGTACATACATATCAGTGGCGTACCTAGGGGCCTTCCCGAGAGTGAGTCGGGAAATTTTTCAAAAATTGTTCACATGAGTTATAAAATGTGCAAGTGACTTGTTTATCTAAATAATTGAAAGAATTTTTAAAATTCTTTGAAAATTCAAATTAACCATCCAAAAAAGTTGTTTTCGGGGGCGTGACTGCCGCCAGGCCCTTTTCCAAAGTTTTGGGTTATGGGCCCAGAAAAATTCTGGAACGTGTAAAAATTCGGAGTGCCTGGCTAGCGCATGCACCTTCATCCAAAAAATTTTTTGTGGCACCTTCCCCCCCCCCCCCCCCTCCTCCCGAACGGAAGTCGTGGGTACGCCACTGGTACATATACGATACCATCGGTGCCTCCTTTAAAATTTCCGAAATAAACGCGATGTCACGTTGAATGCGCCGCAACCTCATAACTCTTTTAAAATCATTTTCAAGAAGAGGGTAACAAATATTTGGAATCAGCGTCCTTCAATCTATCTGAAATCATAATTTTTTCGTAAACTTAAAATTTTTCATTTCTCCAGTGACGCCACGGTAAACGTCCGCGGTTCTGGGATTTCTAGCCCATAAGTCGCTTTATAGCTGGAAATAGATTAGATTTGCTGCTATAAATCATCAGATACCTTGAAAATCTTCCTTTTTATTTTCCATGAAGTTTTGGATATTAGTTTTGCAAGAAAAAGATTTTGATTCATTTTTACTGTAACCACTTCAAATTTAGCCCACATCTTCTTTATATATAAAAAAGCGAGACAAATCACATATGGAAAATAAACTTTCTTTTGTAAACAAAGCTTTCAACAAAGAACTAGCGAAATATAGAAATAGCTAAGATCGGCAAATAATTTTCGCTCAAAGAGAAAGTAATCTATAAAATGACCTTTCTGCAAATTTTTTTCACCCTGATACGAGCCCGTGCAAGGCTTTGCACTCGTAATAAGCAGCCTTTTAGCTCAGTTCTTCAAGCTTCGTTTATGAAGTGCTCGTGCAACGTATCATACGCTTCAATTGTCATTGAAGTCGATGATGTGAAGAGCGTAGCGATTGAAATTCCTTGTTAGGTTCCGGGCTCTTATTGCTCAATTTTTCTAGGACCCGTATATCTTTGCTTGACAGGAAAATTTTGGAATATGCTTGACATTTTTACAGATAGCCTTCCTACAGTTTTTAAGCTTTTCACATTTTAAAAATTTCGTGGTCTGTGGCTTTTTGAGCCATCATTTACGAAAATAAAGACCGGAAAGCTAGAATAATCTCTGGCAAGCAGTCATGACCTTACATAGTGAGTGCACTAATCCTGAGCCCATTTATCTGAAGGAAATACTAATGTCGACTAATCTTTTCGCTGAGTAACTTCATTATGCACCTTGTTTACCCTTCTTTAAAGGACTCCCATTGTTTCCTAAAAGGTTAGAACACTAGGTCATTAGTAATCTTCACTTCCATCCTACTGCACAAGAATATAAATATGCGATTGCTTTGGTCCGAGGGTTGTCTATGAACTATTCGTTCCGATTTTTTTTCTGAAGAATCTTAGAATTTCGGAAATAATTAGTTATGTGCAAAGTTTAGATTTTTGAAACATTGCGTGATGAATTTATGAAATTACAGCCAAGTTCTGCGGCACTAATAGGTTAAGTGTCAGGGTTTGAATATCCAAACTTTTGCTGCACGCTTATTCTAAAGTTTTGAATTCTTACTTGTTTCACATCTAAACATTTTTTGGCTTTAAAACTTATCAAGAACTGGTTTCTGAAACAAACGCTCCCTGTTTAATCCTGTTACTTTTTCCTCTCTTTTACTTTTTATTGTAGTAAAGATTGACTATTTCTAGAATGTACCGGTCCCTATTTGTTAAAACTTGTGAATCTCCAGTTCCGACGGGCAATCGTCAATCTCCTATAGACATTACCACAGATACTGTTATACACGATTCGAAGAAGTGCAAGGTAAACTTCCATAAATTCGAAAAAAAGCGAGTTTCTTGGATTTACTAGGTTGTCCCGAATGTTTTGTCCGTTTTTTTTTCAATCTATCATAAAAATGCGTTGAACAGTGATAGGGAAACGCTCTAAGCAATACCCGACGCATCTTTTCCTTCTCTTTCTAACTGTCAAGCCCACATGGCGATTACTCTTTTGCTCACTGAGATAAACGCCGAAATTTCGAGCCCATGGTTTTTACTATGTCCAAGTTTGACAATTTTTCACAATCTTGATTTTCAACTTTTGGAAGACCTTTGACAGCCCTCAGATAGAGTAAGCAAAGGGATATGCAATGCAATTATTTGGCCTATCTAGCTGGCTTTTCAATATTTTTAAAGATAATTTTTTCAAAAGTCTTCACTTTTGCGAAGTTCTAAAATACAGCTCGCCTCGAACGCAACCAACAAATCCTCGGATTTTGAAGCTTTCAAAAACCGATTACGATTATTCACTATTTTTACAAAGCAACTGAGCGTTTACCGCTTCAAAATATAAGATTTTGCATTTTACGTGTACACGCTGGGGTGGGGTCAAATTCAAGAATTATGAAAATCTTATCGCCAAAGACCCCGCAAATTGGAGGGAAAATACTCTCACTGGAAAGAGGGGGAAAAGCTGCATCGAATAACACCTTAGCTGTCACCGTTTCATGATCTCTGGCTTTTGGCATCACCAAAAGTGGCCATAGCATCAGAAAAATATTTCTAAAAAATTTTCAAGGCAGGCTATAGATGCCGCAAAATTGCATTATATTGCCCTTTGTTTGCTTTATCTAACTGTTGCCAAAGCTTTTCCGAAAGTCAAAAATAAAGATTGAAAATTTCCGAACTAAAACATAGTAAAAACCATGGGTTCGAACTTTCGGCGTTTATCTCAGTGAACAAAAGATTAATCGGCAAGAAAGAGAAGGAAAAGATGCGTCGAATAGTGCTTAGAGCTTTTCCCTATCTTCGTTCCACGTTTTTACAATAGCTTGAAAAAACGGACAAAACTTTCGGGACAACCTAATATATACAGAAAAATCGCGATATCTGCAAATTAATCTTTGATTTTTTTTTCAGAAAAGCTCATTAAAGCTCGAATACCACAGTGGTGACTGTCATGAAGTGATCATTTTGCCAACAGAATGGATGCTGCGAACTAGTGATACCTGCAAAACTAGTAAGAGCAGCTAACAGATATAAACTGAACTCTGACAATTTGGACGAGTTACAGCTTTGACCGCCTCGCACTTGCCAGGGAAATTTCGTTTGCTGCAAGTTCACGGACATTGGGGTGAAACTGCCGATTCGGGTTCGGAGCATAGCGTTAACAATAAGCGATTTGCTGGAGAGGTTGGTTTAGCTCTTGAAGATAGTGTTCAGGCAATTTCTGATCTGAAATTCTTTTGTGGAAACCAATTTCTAAGCTTTAGTTGAGCCATTGCCCAAGCGGCAGCTCATATAATCCTTTCATAAGAGATTCAAGTCGAAACTCTCGCCCAGTACCGTACTCTTTCCAGGCGACAATTAGCGCTCTGTACGGTACTGGGCAGGAGTTTGGAGGTGAATTTCTCAGCAGCGAATGAATGAAATGAGCTACCTCTTGAGCGCTAAGGCCTTTGGGATCAAAAAAGCTCCAATTTCTGAGTAAAGATTCTAGAACTCGCAATCACATCTTTTACTCTCTCACGAAATTTCTTTACAGGTACACTTCGTTTTTTGGAATACAAATTACGACCTAGAAAATTATGCCAACCACCCTGATGGAATGGCTGTTTTAGCAGTGTTTCTTAAGGTAAAATATTGCGAATACTACGACTTATTAAAAAGTCAATGATTTATTTTCCAGGAAGGCAAGTATCATCCCGAGTATGGTCACATCACTGGGTCAATATTGGAAGCAGTGACCAATAAGACTGGAGTGCGTGTTGTGGAATCATTCGATCTGACAAAACTGTTGCCAAAAAGTGAGAAATATTTATTTTAATGAGTCACAATTTTCCGTAAAATTACCTTTTTTTGATTGGGTTTCCTGACCCCTTATACTCATATCTCTTACATAATGTCCCTTATTTCTCATTTCCTACCTTCAAACTTCACCTCCGATATCTTTGCTTTAGATATTGCATCTAGCTTCAGACACATTTCATGCATTACTTAATTCTATTCAGTATCGCGGAAACGTTTTCATTTTCACTATTTCAGATCTGGACTATGTGTTCTATGAGGGAGGACTCACAACCCCGCCCTATACCGAATGTGTTTTATGGACCGTATTGATGGAACCCGTGGAAGTGTCGATCAACCAAGTTGGTTATCTTCTATAAACTTTCGTAAATATGCATTAATGTGGCTAGATTTGGTTACAAGTCTGTAAACTTTGAAAATTATATGGTAATGTAAACTAGAACTGGGTTTATATGTCTGGTAACTTCGGTAATTATACAGTAATTTAGGCTACGGTTCGACTTACATAATTCTGTGACTTCGGTAAATATATGGTAATGCACATTAGAAGTGGTTATAACTCTGCAAACATTGGTTGGATACAGTTTTTTGGGCTAAAGTTAACATTTTACCACATAAAGAAACACCGAAAGTTTATACTTCAGAGGTGTTTTTCTAATCCCGAAGTAACATTTAATTTACAGATTTTTTTTCGATAGTAAGCCTGAGGCGAGGATTAATGTGGTTTCAGAGGATTCGGTTACGCTATCATAACTTATAATAACGGGCTAAGGGTGTTTACGTGACTTTGTGTGTGTGTGTGTGTGTGTCCGTCTGTATATAACGAAATTCATAGAGCAAGTTCCAGCCAATGTCCTGAGCCCAAATTTCGCACAGCGCATGCTACCAGCATAGAACTTCACCATACAAAATCACGAGCGGATTCGTTGGATGGATCCATCAGAATTTGCGAGTCAGACGGATCCACTTGGCTTCTGGCCCGCAAAATTGGGTCTGTGTCAACGCTTTTTGCAAAGTCGTAGATGTGTTTGGCATGTTGATGTGCAAGACATGGACTTTAGGCGAAAAAGTGACCAAAGGTCTACTACTTTACCAGAACGAACCCAGAAAGAAATGGTTGCGAAAATGGTCAATCTGCCGTGGTTTTGCCTAACCATTTGAGAGGATTTTTGCATAGAGATGTAGCTCACGGTAATTGTTGTCCTTATAGCGACTACTAAGCCAAAAGAAGTTTAAAAACCTAATCGAATTTGCATTTGTTCTTCTGCGAAAAGTTCCATCCACGCGCAATTACCGATCTTACATGAAAAAGCCTTTGAAATGAGTAGTTGTTTACATTTCATTCGTGGTAGTCGTCATTGCACGATGAGTTTCAAAGACATCCTTAGGCGAGAACAAGTAAAGCATATAAAGTAAGACCAGTGCGAGCCTCTGCGAAGCAGAGGTGACGCACTGGTATTATATAATCTTCAATTCCATTCTATTAGAAAAATATTTTCAATTTCTAAAGTAAAATTTTCCATCACCAGCTAGGGATCTTTTGAACGAGACTTTTTTAGCTGTATGACTACAAGATAGAGCGAATTACAAGTTGTTCAAACATTCTAATTTCATTTTGTGATTTCGGTGGACTCACACTCCGTTCCTGAGTTGGATACTCGAAAAAAAATTCTGGGCATTATGTAAAGTAATAAAAATCTAATCTAATGGTAGCATTGCTTTTGACAGCGACATTGGAATAAGCCCTTCGAACTTTTCACGAAAATTTTCAGAACAGAGAAGACAGTATTAAAAGAATATTACCATTACATTGTGGTCTCATATAAAATTCGGAGTTATGTTCGTACGTAGCTATCGTGAATAGTGGAACTGAATGTTCAAGTCATTAGATTGAGTTCGAAATAGTTTTGCTCCAAAAAATTCCAAAAAAAATTCATTTAGAAAATGCTCAGCAGCGTTTCATTTCATTTTGTTCAGTATTTTCTCATTGTAGATTATTTATGCAATAATTTATCGTATATATTAGAGATTTTACTTCAAACAATATCAAAACGCAAAAATAAAATTTCGATACTCACACCATCTCGTAGAGACGTCCTATGAGCACAAATTTGATGTAGTTAAAAAGCGTAGATTATTAAGCTTAAATAAAAAATAAGATTAGAGTTTTGATTAGAATTTTCTGGGCCTTTCAGCATTTTTGACAAAAGTTGGAAAAACGCAATTTGAGCGTTCGCTTTTAACAGGTTCTGGATATGACAACGATAATGCTCTGAGAATATTTAGAATGAGAGGTTTTTTTTTAATTTGAATTATTTCAGAGGCATTCAAGAAGAGGGGGAATTTAGAAAAATTTCGGTGCAAGACTTAGGTCCCTTTAATAAATTTTTGATTTACTTTTTTTGCAGATGCGCCAATTTCGCCGCGTCGGTGTCAAGGATAATTGTCGAGAAGTTCAAGCTCTCTGTGGCCGTTCGCTCTATTCATCGTGTAACTTATCGAAATCATGAGTTAGCCTGAATTTACATCATTTTCTCTATTCTCTTTTTATTTTTTACATATCGTCTCTGAAATTGCAAGAAAAACTCATGTTACGTTTCGTCTACTCATTTTTGAAAAAAATCTCTGTTTCGAGAAAGGTTCATAGTCTGTGTGAAATAGTGATGATGGTCACTTCTTGTGGTATACAAAAACACCCGCAATTTTGATATTCAAAGACTTAAGGACCATATCCTGATGAAGTGTGAAAAAGCAGAGTTACAAAAAAAATATCAAAGTGTATTGCTTTGGGCGACACCAACGGGGCGGTGATCTATGCGAGATGCCCTGTAAATTTGTGAAGTTATTGAAATTTGAGATTTGAAAATCAAAGATCTTACATTATGTATTTGAGCGATGCCCGTCGATACATGGTTGAGCCTCGTGGCAATCTTGCCGGACAAAGAACTGACAAAAGAACATCTTTTGAAGCTTTTCGAAACCTCGATGATACCACGTTGTAGAGAATTGGATTCATAATTGGCGCTAAGTAGAAAAGAAATCCTTCAAAAATAAATTTGTTTCGCTGAAAAAAAAATGTGCGAATAATACACCAGCAAAATACCTGATATGAAGAACAGATACTGATTCAACGTTGACATTGTCTGTTGATTTTCCATGTAGAAAAATAACAAACGTTGTATTTGAAATGGTAAATGACATATGAATAAGGCAAATACAATACTGGCTGGAAATAAATCGACTTAAAGCGTTTAACAATTATTTTACCAAGAAAACTTGCTCAAAATAATTGTTAGCCTCATATGTCCATCATCGACGGTGTCGGATCGCTTTACATCCCTCCTCGATGAACGGACCTTCAATTTTTGGCAATGAAAAATAAATTTTGATAGCAGAGGTAGAATGGACGTTATGATAGATTTTCTTCAAAAAAGGTAGTAGAGGAGATTTTGAGAATGAGTTGCAAAACTTTTGCAAGTGCATGTATTGAAAAATTATGATGTAAATGACTTGTTATTCAGAAACAGTTGGAATTATTTTATCATTTTTGGATAAATAATTTCCTGAAAAAATGCATGTCTATTTAATTTCGAAGTAATGTCTTTTTTGGCAGAAATCAGTTAAATAAGGGTCTACCGCTTGCTATACAAAATTTCCATCGTTAATTTTTTCCCCTACCCCAGCAGAAACTTTTCCACTCATACTCAAATTCTTTAAAAATGACAAACCCACATGTAAAGCAATAAGTATATGAAGTACGAATATGGTAGAAAGTGGTATAACGAAAAATAGATGAGCGGACATGTGGAATATCACCTAAACAGAAAACATAAAGAAGATGATGTGGGGAAAAACTTTCCTTACTTTGTACATTGCCAAGGAACTGCGATCAAAAAGTACAGCAACCATGCACATCTTCGATGAGATTACCTGTAAAGCAGGTCCCATTGAATTTGTTATTGATTAGCCGGTTCGAAAAAATAGCTTAGTGTACTTACCGGCACACCGTTCTCAGTACCAGGCCAATCTTTGAGCATATAGTCAGCTCTGTGATAAAATCCAAAGGGTGAAGCTGATACTATTGACACTATCCATGTCAGACAAACTATTTTGTTCACCTGGAGATGACTTTGTTTTGGTTTCATTCAAAGTAAAATATTGTACTCCAACTTCCTCAAAATTGTTGGATTTAGCAGGAATTTGCGTTAGTTATATCTTTTGTTGACTACCTAAGTATGGTCCTGCCAAGATATTCATTTTAGAAATAGATGTAAACTTAAAAAATTGTTACATCTATCAAGATTGTTTTTGCGCTGAGCTGCAAGACAAACTTCTGCTGGCGTTAAATCTTTCGAAGTCGTCCTTTTAGCATACTTTTCTGTAACCGCACAACTTTTAGAACTTGCAGGTGGGCGGACCAGTGTTGAAACATTCAGAGTGGGAAGGGTACAGAAGAAAAATTAACCAAAAATTATTGTGCGAAGTACTAAAAAAGCAATACGAAGGTTATCAACCTGGCCAATGCGGTTTTGAAAAATAGTGCAATCACAGAAAGTGACTGTTGAGATGAACTGTAAGGTGCTCATCAAGCTTTGGCAAGGGTAGAGAAGAAGAGATGAGAAAACAAATGATAATTTACGCTAAAAGCTGTTGAATTAATAGTGAAATGGAAGCTAAAGCTTCTTTTGAATCAATCGAGAGAACATATTTTCGCATATAAACCAGTTAAATACGTAAAAACTCACATTTTGTCGAAGAGATTTGATCTTCACAAACACAAACGGATGGCATACAGCAATGTATCGTTCAATAGAAAAGAGCAAAATTGTCAGTATGGAAGCGTAACTGAGACAAAAAGTTTTGCTGGCACTAAGGATTTTGTATGAGAACAGAACAGACTTGGTAGTTTCAGCAATAAGCGCTTTCATATTACAAAAAACATCAGGAAATGGCCATGGATATTGGCTCCAATTCATAATCAGTTCGAATGGAAGTCCAACAGAAAGTGTAATAAGATCAGCCATAGCAAGATTCATTATATAAATGCTAAAATTTCAAATATTATAAACAAAAGTTGAAGAAAAGGGTCATCACCTGCTATGTGTTTTCATCAAAGGATGACGACGTAATACAGATATAGCTAGGATATTTCCAAGCAGGCCAAATAACAGAATAACAATATATCCTACTGTAACCTGCAAAATTAATTTTTGAGCTATTACTTTATTTTAGCCTGCCTCTAGAAGTTCTTTCAGTCGATAAACTTATGAAATTTTAACGAAGCTTCAACTTTTTCCCTTCAGAAACCTCCTAGGCTGCGCTAAGTAGCCAAATTGTTGAGCCCAAATTTTGGTATTCTCACAGTTGTTTCAACAGAACGTGCTCAAAAAGTCTTTGGGAATCTTTGCAGGGATTCTAGGTTCAAATATCCAAGCAAATATGCGCAGTTTCCTTAGGAGCAGCAAAATCTGCCGAATTCAGGGTCATGCTAAGGATAAGGGTTCCCGAACCGGCTGCTGGACTTTTCTCAAACGTTCCTGAACATCTCTCTACTATGTTTAGGTGAACTGAATGTGAATGATTTTGAATACTCCTTGATTTTTATTAAATTGCGAGAAATGTCTCAATTTGAGTGGTACCTGTAGTAGTGAGGATTGATCCAAGGCTCTTTTACTAATGAAGCATTCCTCCATCCAGCAATCTTCCATCAGTGCAACCGAATAATTAAACACCCGAGGGCATTCAACAGCAAGGCATATGCATTTGTTTGCATCATCGGGACAGTTTGTCATGGTACTGAAATTGAAAAACTTTACTCAAACGGTTGATAACATTTAACAATTTTTCACAGTGAATTTGAGGAGCAGACGGGGTTTAGATTTTTTTCATGTAATAGGCGCCAGTTAAGCTTCAATATCCATCAATTTCTAAGTAATTTTCTCGAGAATGAAGTTTGTGATATTTGAACAGTATGGGTTATGGAACGTTTAGCAAAAAAAACTTTTTGGACCAGAAAAAACCCAATTTTTGGACTAAAAAGATTTTGGAATTTGCCTTTATTTTACTGTTGGTATCCTTTCTTGTTAATCTCCATAAGCAACTTTAATGAGAAACAAGAAATTTATGCGGAGCAGTACATATTGCCAAGCTTGAACCCTTATAATAATGAGTTTATATTCAAAAAATAGTCGAATAAACAAATAAATAAACTAGAGTACATAAACATTCTGAATCCGATTAAGAAGGCGAATGAGGAGAGGGGGGCAAAAGGAATTTTTGCGAGCAGGAAGAGGAAAAAAAAACAGTGTGAAGAAAGTAATGATTTAGGAACCTTTTGATATAGATTTAAGGAAAGCAAAAACTGCGTAAAGCTCAATGAAACTTTGGCTAAAATTTCAGTGCAGGACATGCCTGGATAAATGAATGGCTCATTTGTATTATAGAAAAAAGCGCAATTTACCGAGATCTACACAATATATGTTTAGTAAAAAAGTAAGGCTAATTCCTGGAACAGTTACGTTAACTTTCAAACTCGTGATAAAGCAAAAGAAAATACATGGGAAAATGAAGTCACATTCTTCGCAACGAGCTGTATATGGGCCTAAGGGTAATCCATTTGTTACCTGCTTCCGGGATATATCTTCGAGGTAACTGATATTGTGCGTCATAAATAATGTTTTTGACTAAGATTTACCGTATTTTGCCTCCTGCAACTGCACAAGCAGGTACAGGTGAAAGTGAAAAGCCGTGTGTATAAATAGCATTTTGACTATACAGTAAGAACGTTTACTCATAACAAGGATTAGGCTAAATATAGAACAACTTTTGAGAGTTAACAGCCAGCTGGAAATTTTTTTATTGCATAATGTGGGCTACAATTGCTCTGCTAACCCTTGAAAAGAATGGATTGTGACAGATTTTTCGATAGCGACATATTTATTGTCGCGAAACGGTCGGAATGTTCTTTTTTCAGAGTAGTTTTCAGAAGAAACTGAACACATTATTGGACTTCTGAGCATCTAGCGATTTAGAATATATGTCTAAATTTTGAAATTTTTGTTTGAGCTTTCGCGACAAATATTGACGCGACTATTTGTCGCGACAAAATCTTTCACTTAGTCAAGTTTCTGTCAGAAAGGTAATGCTCATCAAAATTTTTGCTAATTTCGACATGGTATAGCTCTAGGAAGTCTACAGAGCAATATAGCATCGGCAATACTTTTATAGCATGCAATTGAATTGAAGAGTTTGCCAGAATATTGACAAAACTAGCTGAGTATATAATCATCATTTCTATATGAAAGTATATGAAATGTGAAATGATATTGGAACTTCCGCTTGATTTTATTCTGTGTAAAGTTTATCCATGTATTGATTTATCTGCTAAGAGAATCTTTGATAGAAGAAAATCTTTCTCTATATTATTTCTAAGAAAAGTCAAAGACCATCAGTTCAAGCAATTACATTTACTTTGTCTAAAAATTGCTATAGAAAATTAAATGAAAATTCCGCCTATATCACAAAATATTTGCTTAGGTCAAAAACTAAATGTAGAGCTTTTGATGAACACTGCCAGTTGGATTACATTATAACTAGCTGGCTTACCCGGCTCCGCCGTATGTTCCGAATAGAAAATTCCATTTCTTAACCGATCCGGACCAAACTTGGCACACATACCCTTCGGGCCCCGGCGGGTGTTACAGTCCACTTTTCGTTATCGATCGATATCGATTTTATCGACTTTTTGCAAAATTTGAGCTACGGGGCTGGGAGTTGGCAGAGGGGTGTAATCGAGCAGATCGAGCATGCTGATCACCCCCCACGGGGGTGATCAACATGCTCGATTACCCCCCTGTGCCAAATCCCAGCCCCGTAGCTCAAACTTTGCAAAAAATCGATAAAATCGATATCGATCGATACGAAAAGTAGCCTATGACACCCGCCGGGGCCCGAAGTGTATGTGTGCCAAGTTTGGTCCCGATCGGTTCAGAAATGGAATTTTCTATTCGGAACATACGTACACACATACAGACAGACAGACAGACAGACAAACAGACATTCAGCTTTATATATAAGATTAGTGTTTTCTTCATACCTTGGCAGAAAGCCAGTAAAATCAAGAGCCATTTCTACTTAGATGTAGAGGAGACGGTCAACATTATAGTGATGACTTTGTGATCAAATATACAAATGAATAAATGGATCAGAATGCAGTTCTCTTTCTAGCTATACCTGCTGATAAAGAAAAACACAGCACAAATTTGATACTGAGCGTTGACTCAATGAAGGTAACAAAACAACTCTGAGATAAGCAAAGCAGAGTCTGGGAAAGAAAGTTTATTTGGCTCACAGCAGACAAACTTAACACAAGCAGTGAAAAAACAAAAAGAAGACAGGCTAGGGGGAAATGATGAGCTATAGAATACTTCCTGGATACATAAGTAGTGAAAAGCTTGATAGTTTGAACAAACAATTCCAATATCAATCAAATTGTTTTGAAGAATGATAATGGCTTGATTTTCTGGATAAATCACAAGGCTAATCTGTTGATTTGACGGAAAAGCGCTAAAATCTGGATTATCAGAAGCATCGTCATTTTCAAAAATGATCGCTGAATTATCGAAGAGAAAGGGGAGGGGGGGGGGGGTCGTGATATAAAAAAAAAGCTTTGACGCAATAGTTTCTCTTATATTGGTTCACTTCCACCTAGTAACAATAATCTCTTCTATCTATATTCAGCCACAAGCTTTTCGAAACCGCCGAAGTGCCATGAATGGGGCTAACGAGGAATTCAAACACAAAGATCAGTGATTGAGGAGAATGGAGATTGACATCATAGAAAAAAATCCAAATGGTCCTTGTGAATTAGAAGCAGACTATAACAGTTTCTCTCTCTATAAAAACAACTGCTACTATAGTTCTCAACTTTCAAACTGCAATACTTTGTCATTTTCCGAAGGTTAGAAATTTCTTCGCAAGCTAAACATCTTAGCAGCTGTACATTTGCGCGAGAAAAGAAAAGAAAAAATTCCTACAAAAAAGACACGTAGGTCAAATTCAAACACTACACAGTATGATACTTTTCCTAGAGTTATGGGAATGTCTCTTCCTACATTATGCAGTCTTCCATTTATCCCAGTTTATGATTTTCGAGAAAAAAATTTTAGCGGGCAGGGGAGAGGGGGGGGGGAACTGCAAAAATCTCAAACAACGAAGGGTTGAAATGTTTAATCACACAAGGCTATCAACCTGATTGTCAGGAATAAACCTAATAAAGTCAAAGCAAAAAAGCATGGCCTCACAGCTTATTAGTGAGGGGAGGGAGAGGAGAGCGTAAAGTAAAGTAAACTCAATTTACTTTCCAATCCAAGATTCCTCAGTCAGTACTAGCTTTCGGGAAAAAGATAAGTTCTATTTCTCAGCATAACTCAGGTAAAAGTATACAAATCAAGAGCAAGACAGCAGTTCAATGGCGCTAGAAATAATGAAATAAGTCCTAGAAATAAAGTTTCATATTAGATACAAATATGAAAATTTATTTGAGAGAACCTGTTGAAGGATTCAGCCCAAGAGCACTTGAAGAAACTTTTCCTATTCAATAAGCTGGTGAATCCAAGCCAGCACGAATGCTATTGCTAATGAGTGTGTAAGCGTTCCAGAAGTCTCGTATATCAAATGTTGCAGTAGTAAAGACCACTTTTGGAACCAAATAGTCAAAGCTATGTTCAAAGAAACAATAAATTTCAATCAAATTCAAAATCAAATTGAATTTTTCACATGCGCGAGAATAAAGCAGATGTTTCTAGCAGGGTTATATACTTCGTCAAGACGCATGTCAATTTGGACAAAAAATGAATTTATGAGGAAAGCTCAAGGAACAACTTCGTGGAAATTGAATACTGCTTGGGATCAGGATCTGTCTGACTAGGAGCAGACTTTCTTTGTTTGTGAAGAAAGAAGCCCTCGAAGTCAGACAAAATCTGGTCTTTATCACAATCATAAGTGTATTGATAGAGGGGGAATTTTGAAGTCTATGTCTGTTCTCCTGTGGCATCATACTTTGTAAAAAAATTGAATTCATCAAAAATATTTGGAGAGTCTTTGTTGCACTCTTTGCCAAACTTTCCACAAAATTATTGGTTGAAAAACGCAATAGAAATGTGTATTTTCTTGAGCAGGAAATTTCGGGGTTCTTAAATAATTTGATAAATTTCGCAAAATGAATATATTTTTTATTCTAAACAACCGATTCATTCAATCTCAATTCTCTATGCATGAAAATTCTGTGAAAATTGTTAAGCTCAACTCTGTGAATAATGACATAGGAGTCTACATATAGATCCAATAATAAAAGTATATTGAAAGCGACAAAGCCAATGAAACGATTAGCAATTGTGTAAACACAGAATTAGCAACGAAGGAGGGTACAGTGACAATTTTCAGACGTCATTATTTCTCAGAAAACACTATTTAAGGGTAACTATGGCCTTGATGAAGCAACTAAAACAAGGATTACTCGACTGTTATGAATGTTAATATTGGCCACCTTTTGACATGGACATATGTACATACGAGAGGTTGAATACTTCCCCCTTGAGGCAAATAAACATACGACTTTGCAGAGTAATAAGTAAGACATTGTTGACGGAAACGTTGACAAGACCGACATGGATCAGCAGGTCCTGAACTGAATAACATTCAATGTACCAAAGAGTAATTTGGCAGCAACAAGTCAGGTGGCTAGAGCTTAGGCTGAAGAAGGAAGTGGTCTCACAGTTTGAAAAAATTTGAG